AGTTTAAGTCGTCCTGAGGGAGCAGTTTCGTAAACCGTTTCGCGGACAACCACTACACATAATTTCGAGTTATTCCGCATATCATGAGGTTTTTTTTAATGAATAACTCTCGAACATTCGCACGGTTGCTTGCGAAAAAGAAACTTGAACCTTGAACCTGGCCGCTTGAACGGCCACCGTATACTTGTAGATTACGTCATTCTGAGCGAGAGGGTCCTCTACCATTTTGCAGAGAATCAAAGAGTTTTAGAGTTACCGACTGAAAAAGCTGCAAGTGCCATTTTCCACAATTTCGATACAACTCGGAATTTTGCACGGTTCTTCGCAAAGTACCACACTGATAGAAAAATATAGTTGAATCACAAACTATAATCTCACTATATTTTATAGTTCATTTCGGCGTCAGCCATACTTTTATAGTTCGTGGGACCTGCAAAATATAGTAGAATAAACACAAATATATAGTCAATTATTGTCTTAAACAATTGTTTAGTTACTTTTACCACATATACGGTAATTTCTCATTCACAAATATAGCGAGATTTAATATTCATATAGTTACATCTGTCATCATTTAGCAAATATTCTGATAATATTGACTATATAAAAGAGTTACTTTACCTACCATTTTATATCTGTATCCGTGCAATAATTTTACTTTAACTTACTACAATTCTTGCTAAAAATATTATCATATGGTTGCTTATACTATATGCCTATATCGTAATTATTACCGGTATTATGGTAATACTTACTATAAATATGACACTTCGGACCATAATTTACTTACCATATCATTATAGTTCCAAATATCATATACTTTCCTCTGCGGCAGACTTTCTTCTTCAGGATGACCTAATCAATGTGCGTGTGCACATCGCGCCGCCGCTCAATAATTACACGGACGAAGACATCTCAGTTCGTGTAATTAAACGGGGACCTGCCGCGGCCGAAAACACTCGTCTGCGTTTGAGGGGGCTTCGAGAGCCGGGCTAACCCGAGAACAATTAGCTGAGCGCGGAAATCCGCCGCAGGAGTCTTTCTGTTGCTGCGAGCGAGTTGCTCCGTCTGCTCCCGAGGCAACGAAAAATCCAGTTACGCTAACGGAATTGTGTGTTTGCCGTGTAACTTCGCGGCCACCCCCCGCCCCCCGCGCGCTGGAATCTGCCGGTCTGCTGTCGCGTCCGCCGCTACGTTGGAAATTATTAGACGGCGCGAGCGCACTTTGTAGCTCGAACGGCCGTAAGTCCCGGCATCTCGCCACCCGCGTGCGTTCCTCCGATTGTACACTCCCACATTATCGCGCACGCAAGCCGGCGCGGCGGCGCGAGACAGGTCCAGGCGACAAGTTGCAGATGCTCTCGCGAAGGAGAGAACCGCGGGAAAACCGCCCCCCCCCTCCCCCGGAGCGTACTTTTACTACGCGGAAATGACGAGATCCGCGCTCACGCTGCGCCCATCTGCGCACGGTGGTCTCCCACGCTCGCTAAAAATCTCCGCCGCAGCTGTCATAACCCGGCGACTGCGAATGACCGTGCTAAACGACGACACGCACGTAGGCTCTATGATCTTCTGGGAGTGATACGAGTGACACGCGGCCATTTCTCCCGCCGCGGAGAGCGTATTGTATTCTAGCCTCTTCCCTCCCGGAAGCGAAAGTCGCGAGAGCCCGACATTTCGCGCACGTTTCGCACGTTGCGCGTGAAATATTTCCAATGTCTACGCGTGGCAGTTGCGGCACCGACCGATTCCCTTTATTCCGTTAAAAATGAGCCGGAGCCGGAACTTCCCGTCGGATATTCGAGCGGTAGGAACGGCAGCGGCAAAAACGACGCGAAACTGTGACGCTTGTTATTACTCTCGACGAGAAAGATGAGAGTCGTGCATCTCGATCGCTATACTCGGTCTCTAATGGCTTTTAAGGCACGATCGTTAATTATCATTAGCGTAGACTGAGGGACCGAGAGATAGAAAAAGAGCGAGCGACGGCAAAGCTATTTCTATAATATTCACGACGGGCGCGACGAGAGGCGGGAGGTTGTCTTGGGATTACGTATCGGGAAAAGATCCCAGCAGATCCTAGTTAAAAGACACGAGAACAGATTAAATTCAAGTAATTTTCTTGCCGGTAATCCGATATTCAAGCGGATCAATAAGCTTCTCTAATTACAGCTGTCGCTTATACACGCCGCTTAACGCGGATCCCATTTTCAGAGGCAGACGCGAGGTTCCGTTACTTTACGTCGCCGTAAATAAATAAATGTCAAAACTCTTCGCGCGATACTTCCTCGTCGTGAAGATCGAATTATGCGCGACGAGTAATGCGCGAAAAAGAAAAAAGAATTTTGTACAATTTCCTCTGATGCGACGCAACGGGAAACTGATGGATTTGAGTTACCTGACGTCACACACGGGCAGCGCGAAAATCGACAAGAGAAAAGGCAGACAGCGTAAAATTTTTCGAGGGGGTGATTCGTTTGGAAAAAAATGGCGCCACTAAATCTCCAGCAACCTGCGACCGGCCGAATCGTAAGCGCATTCTCCCCGTGCGCGCGCGCGCGCGCGTGTATGTGTTTAAGGAGCAAAAAGTGCTCGATTGTAATTACCGTAAACGGCCGCGAACGCTATGATTCACCGCGCGTCGTGTAACGATCGGTGCGACTGCTTAAGCGGATAAATTGTACACACTGAGCATAATTGCCGGGAACGTGATAAATCTGTCCTTCATTTAAACGCCGCGCGATTGCATTACACGCGCAGCGCGCTTTGTTACTCGTACTTTCGCCGCTAATTATTCGGCCACAGAGCACTCGTTAACCGCGCGCGCGCGCAGGATGAAGTATAAAACGGCCTTAACCCTTTCTCGCCGGTGAGAATAATACGCCAAGTGAGCGAATAATCGCAAGTTCGGGCTCTGGAGAGGCGGTCTTGACGAACACGCTCGTTACGCATCTCCAAGTTCGATCTCATCGATCGTCCCGACGATAAAGAGGCACCACGCTGTTATTACCCGCGAATCAATTTTCCGTCTGTCCGTGCAGAAATCTCGAGATCGATATAAATCCGGGAAGGATAAACAAACGGACGCGGTCTAAAACACCGCAGACTCCGTGTCGGCGTGTTCGCCAGCATTTATCGAGAAGCCCATCTCAATTAACGTCATAATCCGCGAGTCCTTCGGAAGCACTGAAATTCCGCAGGCCGCGCGTATCCTGCAGAGCGCCGCTGGAGGAGCCAATAACTATTCAATAACACAGAATCGCGCGCTCGTGTATGCGAGGGCGCGCTCGATCGAGAAACGATCATTTAGTGGCGAAAGCGTAGTTAAACGGAGAACCATATCCGGCGGAGGGGGCCGGAGGTGGGAGGAATGCTGCAGAGACGCCGGCGGGGTCGCTGATAATTTTATTGGAAACCGCGCATGCACTTTACAACCGGCGAATGCAAACTGCCTTGGACAGCCGCCAGAAGGACCATTGAAATGTTATATAGCCACTTTGCCGGCAGCAAAAGCTCCGCAGCGAAAGTCGGGAATGCTCGATTCTCCGCGGCTTCGTTCGTCAAAAATAAATCCCCCGACCATCCCCGCCTCCTTCCGAGAATGATGACGAGGAGGAAAGGACTGATTCCAAACTCCACCTTCCGAGCGGGATCGAACGATCGTGTCCGCGTTCCGCGATTTAGCCGACAACGGCGCGATCAACGCGCCGTTTCGCGTTGCGAGCGACGAAGAAAGTTCTTCCTCATCGCGCCGGCTGCGGTGGACTTTGCGAGCTTCCCCCGCCGTTTAGGCACAATTTAGCGTTAATATACCGTGACAATGGCGGCGGCGTCGTCTGAAAATTGTGGCGTGTCGGGCAATCTTCAGCGGCGGGCGAGTCGCGCGGCGCGCGAGGCGGGAGGAGAACAGCACGGCGGGATAATTTGTTTCGGAACATCGTGAGCGCCGCCCAGGAACGGCGAGGTTTTCCGCGTACGTGTATCGTACAAAGCTTCGGCGCCCCGGATGGTATCAGGCCCGAGTTAAAGGAATGCCGAATCGGCATTTAACCCTCGACACGTTATTCCGACACGTAGCCGACGCTTCCGCTCAAAGGCGGGAAATCCTGCTCGTTCCCGGGAAAGTGGGATAGCCTCCGCGGTCAAACGCGCTTACGTAAATTCGCTGCAGCGCTCGCGAACGTCCTCGAGTCAATAATTCTCCGGCGAAGGCCGAGCGCAACGTGTTTACCGGCGATCCTATAAAACGAACAAGGCTAACGAGAGAAACGTCCAAAGGATTCTGCAGGCAAGAGAAGCGCGGAAACTCTCTCTTCCTCTCGCATCTCTTCCGATCCTTCCCTCTCTCTCTCTCTCTCTCTCTCTCTCTCTCTCTCTCTCTCTCTCTCTCTCTCTCTCTCTCTCTCTCGCTGTCTCCTTTTCCCTCTATCTCCAGTCTATAAATAAAAATTGGATTAAGGGGTGCATTCCACGAACACGTTGCCTACGACACCTCCCGCGAGCCGCGCCGCGAGCGCGGAGGGATTAAAGCACCCCATGCGGCGCAGCCGCCGCGGTTACTATTGTTACCCACGAAGCTCACCTGTGCGTCACGGACGCGGTCCGTTCGTTCGTTGCTTCGTCCGTCCGTCCGTCCGTTCGTTCGTTCGTTCGTTCGTTTTGCCGTGGCGCGAGCAGCCGGAGAGGTGCACAGGTGAACGAGGGGGCACTTAGCGAGCGAAATGTTTCCCTCGCACCTACGTTCTCACGGCAGGCCACATCCTTTTCGCGACCTCGCTCGACCCCGAGATACCTCGGCCACGTCCCGATGCGCAACGCGCCGTGGCAACGTCTGGAGCGCGCGAGAAAGAGAGATACAGAGATAGAGAGAGAGAGAGAGAGAGAGAGAGAGAGAGAGAGAGAGAGAGAGAGAGAGAGAGAGAGAGAGGGAGGGAGGGAGGGAGAGCGAGACGGAGAAAGCGAGCCCGTCGTAATAAATTTACCTGCTGGTCCTGTTGCAGCATCATATAAAATTAAGGCACGGGAGGCACCGTCGACAACACGGCGAGAGTTATCAGCCCAGCTTCTTCGTGCTGGACACGGACGAGCCTGAGGGGGACAACTGGGGACCATGGTCGTCGGCCAGCTCCTGTTCGCGCACCTGCGGCGGCGGGGTCGCCCATCAGACCAGACAGTGTCTCGACATGGAGTGAGTTACTATACTTTACGAGGCCGCGCGCGTTTATCGACTACCCGTTAGACGGGACCGGGGAAGGAGCGCAGATAGAACGCCGTGAGATACGATATCGAGAGGAATGTCGGACGAGAGCGAAGCTCTCACGGCGGCACGTACAAGGGTAACATCTCTCAATAACGCTCCCGCGGAACTCGTCCGTCGGAAAATGAAAAAATCGAGCCCGCGGTCGGATCGGAACCGCGTCGCGTCCCGCGACTGTTAATTCCTTCCCCTTCTCTCTCTCTCTCTCTCTCTCTCTCTCTCTCTCTCTCTCTCTCTCTCTCGTTCTCTCGTTCTCTCGTTCTCTCGTGTTCTCAAGGAGCGTCTTGGTATCGTGTCTTCCCCTGCCCCTCCGCCGCAACAACCCCCTGTGCCCGGCAGAAAATTCCTCGCGCGTATTATCTCGCGGAAGATTTCGCGTTAACACACCCCCTCGCTCGCAGTTTCCCTCCTCGGCTACACACGCGTATCGCGCGGATTATTTTCGCGAGCGCACGCTCTCTCGCGCGAATTTCAGCGGGACGTGTGTGAGGGAGGGAGAGAGGGAGAGAATTTACTCGGCCACTTTAAAGTTTGTTCTCCGTTGAATTCGCCCGAAGGAAGCCATTCCGTCTCGTTGAGTTCCTCGCTATCCCCGGAACTCGCTACAATGGTATGCTCAATTGAATTGAGATTGGATTAAAAGCGGGCACAAGCTTGCAAAGAATTTAATCAAGTCCCGATCTGCACCGAATGCCCGAATACTCCGGTGTAATGGCACGTAAGCGGGCGGCCAAGGGTCGGAGGGAACCGCTTATTGAGGCGCTAATAAACGCTGCATAAATGATCAGCCCTGTTACGTCTCGGGGATTTTAGAGATTACGCGGCGAGAACAGTCGCTCCTGGGAGGGACGCGAGAGAGTACCGTTCGACGACAATGTTTCCGGTCGCGAGAGTGTACCTTTATCTCCCGGCAAATCCCCTTCGTCGTATTTTCGAGGAATCTTAACGCGGCGGGATGCGACGGCGAATCGATGAATGAAACGAATGATTCATCGTACGTCGAACGAATCGAATCATTTATACGCGAGAGAGAAGGGGGAGAGAGAGAGAGAGAGAGAGAGAGAGAGAGAGAAAGAAAGGGAGCAGCGCGGTTCGATCAATCCTTTTTGCAACGCGGCGGACGTCGCGCGCGACTAAATTTCGGATAAATCAACGAAACTTTTCCCTTAGCGCACGCCCCGTAACGGATTCGCCGTAAATCCTTCTTATCTCGAAACTAAGGGAAGATTAATCGTAGACACTTACACGTCTCTCCGGCGTCACGCTATCTCCGGGAAATTCTCACGATTTCGCGCCGCGAGGACGAGTCGCAATTAAAGTTGGCTCTAACGTCGCGGTTACGTAAAGTGGGGAACCGGAGGAATGACCGATCGATGATCGACATATTGGGCCGGGACGAAGGAGGCGCTCGTCGTTAATGATACGTTGCGCTTTTAGAAAGCGAGATAATCGTAACGTGAAAGCGCGTCAAGTGCGCGCCGCGGCGGCCCGCATCACCGAATGCATCGATAGCTGCGCTATCGTGGGTCATCGGAACGCGACATGCATCGACTGCTACGATTTAATCGCCAAAGAAAACGCATCATTTGCGCGAGATCGTGCTCTCCGCGGCTGCAATCGATTAGAAATCGCGCTTAATCGGCGCGTACGTGCGCGAGAAAACGACGGAAGGAACAGACGCTTTATGACCTCACGAACCTGCGATTTCTATCCCTCCATGCGGAATTCTTTCACCTGCGTGTCAAGAATCGCACGGACCGTTGGAGGTACGAGTATACGACGATAGCGCGAAGTGATTGAATTGAAATCTAGGGGGATGTCGCGTCGTTGCAAAGTGATCTCTGATATTTTGAGAATTTTTTTCGAACGACTTTTTGTCGAAAGAACGTCATCGACGCGCGGTGAGAGACCTCCGAGTTTCTCGCCAGCCGCGAGAAAAGACCGCGAGAAGCGTGTCGATTATTCCGGCCTGAAGAATCGGGAGACTCTTTGAGGTCCACGTAAACGCGGACGTGGACGCGGACGTTAATGCTGCAGGATGCGAGTACGTAAATCTTCGGGTGTCCTCTTTAAAAGTTTTATCAGGCGGAAAGAGGTGTACATACTTGGCCGGGCGATAAATTTTTAAATATCAGACCATCTCGTACGGAATAAGTGAGCAGCACTTACCGGGATACTGTAGAAATTTATCGACGCGAGAATCTTAATCTCATTCCCGAAGCGAAGCTCGTGCGCCGGACCTGCGCAGCGACGTCAGAGATCGTCATTGATCACCTGCCATTTCCCTCGGATACAGATTTCATAAATCACACAGACACACGTCCGGGCTGTTCGCGTATTGATGGAGGGAACGATTTTTCTCTTCTTATGTTCGCGCTTTCGCTCTCCCGTATTCCCCAGAGCCGGAAAGAGGACCTCCTCGACCGAGCTCGATCGGCTAGAATAAATTCAACGGAGTGTAAATGCGCGATTGAGAATCTCGTCTTCCCGTTCGCATCGGGCGCACGAGGAGCGCGCGGGAACGCGCGAGGCGTAATTGAGATGCGAAGTCGGTTCGGAGTAAATCAGGAATGAGGAATAACACACGGACAGAGGGCGTGCAGCTCTGCTATATCAAGTGTACGCGATCGGTATTGTCCCGCTTGTTAGACGCTGGCCGCGTGTATCTCATCCCCCCCGAGCGCAATTACCGCGCGGGTTACATGTCAAATGAATACGAGATTGCGCCCCCTTGCTACCCTTTATCCTAATTACGATATCGCAGCTTCAACGGCGCTGCGACAACGCCCTATTGTATTGATAACGTGATATCGCGAACGAGCGAATATACTACTCCGACAGAGATGACATCCCGTCGAATTCACTCACCGCCGCTACAACCGAATAGTTTATACTTTGTCCCGGAGAATTCAGCCTCGCGGAGACGACGACGTGTCGCTAATTGACAATGTACTTGTACGAATATATTATGCAACGACTCGCGCGTTAACGAACAAACAGACAGATAAGTAACACACCCCGCGGGTGGGGTCCAAAATTTCCCAAGGAAAGAATTTCAATTTCAAATGAACAATTTGCTCGCCTCGAAATGAACAATCTTTATCCCAAGAGAGGGAAAAAGGATACGCGTTCGTAAGTAAGTTAAGAAAGTTCTCCGCCTCGGCAAGCGCAGCAGGGCGTAATTGAGAGCCGGGAATCGATAGACAGCGTATAAATAAAGGGTGTAGGAAGAAAGTTTAGCCGCCGCGCACACGAGAGAGAGAGAGAGAGAGCACGTCCCACGTTCTCGAGTACGCTGGTACGAGCGGCATTGTCCCTCCCCCCACCCCTCCCCTCCCCTCCCCCGGGTCGGGTTCGTCATCATCCGCGAAAATAACGCTCCTCTTTGCTCCTGTGTTGTTGCAGTGACGACGGCCACGACAGGTGCACCGGCGCCGCCAGGAGGTACTTCTCGTGCAACATTCAGGTGAGTGACGGATGAAAATACAAGAAGCCGCCTCCGTAAGCGCTTCCGAGGCGCGCGCGCGCACGCGCGCACGCGCCGGCTGTATCAATTGTCTCGGCCGCGAGCGATGAATTCTCACCGCGGCGCTTTGTGGACGCGGCCGGCCGCCGATCACGTCGTCCTCCGCGACGTGATAATGTCGGCTCCGAGACACCTGCAAAAAGGACACACGCCGCCGCCGCCGCCGCCGCCGCCGCCGCCGCCGTGGGAATGCCGCGGGCTCTACGTGAGTCGAGTACGATCTGCGGCTTGATTAATTGCCGTGTAACAGGGAGTGATTTATGCGATGTGCTTTAATAGATCGAGCGGCCTCTCGCCCTGACGGTCTATCGAGAGGCGGCGCCCGCGTGACACGCGCTTCAATTATTCGCGTCTGCGAGCAAACTGAAATCAATGAGTCGAGGTCTCGCGAGGCGGCGCGGCGCCTCGCTTGCGCGCGCGCGAGTCTTCAAAAGTGTGTGTCGAAGGAGGTCGAATCTGTCGGTCGTTGTGAGCTTTCGGTCACGGTGACCGACGAGCCGCGATTAACCCGCGAATCAAAAATTAATTAATTATTAATCAATCCATTATATACGCGCTCTGCCTGTCGTTGCAGCAAAAAGACTCGCTGCGATCGAATGCTACGTTCGACGCACCGTCGTGAGTCTCTTAACAGCCGGCACTCCCCCGGCTTTGGCCGTGCGTTGGGTTCGCGAGATAGGATTAATTAGGCGAGTTAATTAGACGCGTCAAAACGTCGCTCAGCTGGCCGCCACGTCGCGCCGCGCCGCGGCAAATTGAATTTTGCCCGCTTCTCTGAGCTCAGGGAATTCGACATGTTTCCGTTCGCCTCGAGTTTTCGCGCGGAGAGATAAAAACTTCCTCGACGTGTATTCACTTTCGCTGCGCGTGCCGGCCGCGCACTCTCGACTGCCCCGCCGCCGCCGCCGCCGCCGCCGCCCGTATCGACCACCGACATTTAGACGACTCTCGCAAAATCACCGCGTATCGTCGTCGGTCCATCTGTCGCACCGAAAGTCGTCCGGCCAAACGCGAGACGAGCGTATCCGTCGTCCCGCGTTTTTTGCGCGAGACGCTCCGCCGTGCTTTTAACTTTCACGGTGCATCCGAGCGCACCCTCGAGCGCAGATTTAGTGGTTTCGCTTTAAGGAACTATCTTTACAGCCGCGGTAAACTTTTAATCCCCCTCTGTCGCTCTCGCTTGGCGCTTTCAAAAGAAACGCGCGCAATCGCCGCGGCGCGAGAGGAATTGAACGGCCGTAGGAAACGGCCGAAAGAAAGTAATTTATTTACACGTGTTTCGCAAAAATGAACGCTCGTTCGTCCGTATCGCTCGTACACATCGCGCGCGCCGCGTGGTCTAAACTCTCGCGCGCGCCTCGCGAGATCTCGCCGTTTCGCCGAGGCTCGTTTATGCGCTTTCGACGAATTACGGGACGAATTACTCGCCCATCGTTGCATCGTCGCTTTATGTTCTCCGCTTTGTCGGTCGTGCATAAGCGGATCCGGGTAAATTATCGAGCCGACGTATAAAATAACGAGAACGAGATCGAGGCGGGATAAAGGAGAGAGAAGACGTTGAAGACGCGGCGGACTCGCGGATGTGCGGATGAAAAGCCGCGGATGTAATATACACGGACTTTTTGCGCGCTCCAGTCGAGTCCGTGATTTGCGCATCCTTCTGCCGTTGGAGAATAATTGAACGGAATCCCGTGATTTTGATCGGACGTACCGCGAGAAAGATTTTCACAGTGGTTCGCTCACTTGCTGGCTCTGACTGACTGGCTGGCTGGCTGACTGACTGGTTGGCCCGGTGACCCCATAAACCCGACCCGACCCGCACAATATCTCCGCTTTAACAGGTTCTCTTCTTGGCAACCTGGTACATGAGTGCTCGCAATTCGCTGGGTAAAAGCTCGGCGATGGAGCGCGCCGCGTTGTGCGACGTGACGATGGCGGGCCATTGAGTAAACGTTCGCTCTTTATCGTTAGGCGGCTTGCGCTCTTAGCGCTCCCGCGTTGTCACGGGTGACGTTGGCAAGTGCCAAACTCGAAAAACCTATGTACGGTAATTTCCAAGGAACTCGTCGGGGCGAGTTTCGAAAAGCTGATGGACGTAAGCGAGGGGACTCGCGAGTTTTTGACTTTCTCCTCGCACTTCACCGGGAATGTAAATCGCTCAGCGAGCGATCGCGTACGGGAAATTTGGAGATGAGTGCCTTGGAATTTTTCATTTGCCCCGACTGCGGTTGTCGTTCCGTCGAGTATTCGCGTCTACCTGATAACGGCGATCGATCCGGCCTCCCGCATCACTTGGTTGCCAGGAATGCTTTGCCGACCGTCATAATTTTTTTCGATTCATCTTGTCGAGCGTTTCATTTCGAAGCGGGCGAGCAAACGTGTTCGCTCTCTCTCTCTCTCTCTCTCTCTCTCTCTCTCTCTCTCTCTCTCTCTCGCGCGCGCGCGCGCGCGCACGCTGGCGATAACGCTCGCATTAATCCTAAAGTAAAATTCTTCACGCAGGAGCTCAAACGCGAAAGAAAGGACGGAAATCCAACGTGATAGCGCAAGAGCTCGGGGAATTTACGGTGACATTTCCATTACGTCCTCGCTTTCGCGGCTTATGGAGAAATTATGATTAATTAACCGCAATTAGAATCCCACGGCATAGATTCTGGTCGTTTGCTCGTGAATTTTTTGCCGTATCCAAACCGCCGAGCCATTCAACCGCACGCGCGCGCGAGCAACGAGGGGGAAAATGATTCCGATGAAGGAATTATCCGGCGTGGCAGATGAAACGCGTCTCGCGCTGTTGTTGCGCAATCACGACACGGCGCTGAGAGAGTGTTGCGCAAGTGCCTGACGCTGACAAGACCTGAAAGTATCGTTCGCACTCGAAGACGTCGGCTTGGCATAACCGAAGGGTTTGCCAAGCCAACGGAATACAAAGATACAACTCGAAGAAATATACATATTTCAAGATAAATATATTCAACGATTTATTACACAGCTTCTTGAAGAAATCAAAGTCGTACGAATATTTCTTGAACTTTGAAACATTTCGCGTTCAATTTGTCCGAAGAGAAAATTCCCAAGGGACAGAATCTTCACGCATTCGGACCAACTTCAAGATGTTCGATTGGTCCTTACTCTTCGTATATAATTATCCAATACTTGTGTCGTTTAATGTTTCTATACTGTCCCATATTTATATAAATGCTGATATTTACAATTATATATACATTTCTTCCGTTGTCCTTTCTTATGAGCTTTTTGGGTCTTGACGCAACGACAGACGCGGCAGAGTTCGCGGGAACTTTTCATGCGCAGTGGAAAATGTTTAGACACGCGACTTATTCTAAAAACACGCCCCGCGTTATTCCGATGCACCCAGATAATCGCCGTGCGACGAACCCGCGCCCGAGCACGTGGTGCACCGACGACTCCCCGGTGGCCCGCAGGAGATTTATGAACGGAAGGCCATTATGTGTGCGGCATCGGCTCGGCGAAGTATTAACTTCGTTAGAGCAAAGTGCTAACTGAAACGAATGGCAAGGTATACCGCTATACGCCGCGTCGACCGCCGCTGGCGGCAGTCTGTTTCCCGGACCGACGGTAGTTGCATCTTATCCCGATAAAAGTCACCTCGCGGCATTCGCGCAATGACCCGTTGAAATGTGAGATGAGGCGCATCCGAATAATTTCATTCCCTAAATTGCAGCTTCATAAATTGGGCACGCGCGCGCGCGCGCGCGCCACCGCCGCCGATTAGCCGGCCAAATATCGCAGCGCGGCATGTAAATCCGCGCGCGTCTTTCGCATCCGATCGGATTTGATGAAAATTTCATTCGCGCAATTCAACGCTGACGCATCGACGATAAATTGTTTCCTATTCGGCGCGATAGGCGAGCGCGTTGAATATCGATTTAGCGGTCTCATTTCCCTTCTCTTCCGGCTGCAACGACGCTCACGCGTCTCGTACGAAAAAATTAATCGCGAGTCCCTGTGAGCGCAAAAGTGCGGCGACGAGCGAGCTCTCGAGGAGAACGACGGCGACGCCGGGCGTGGAAAAATTACAGACGCCGGCTCGAAGCGCGCGCGCGCGCGGCCGGATTTCTTTAATGAAAGCAAGCTTTAATTAAGAGTTAGCCGTAATTACGGGTGACCCTGCTCGCATTTAGAGAACCGCCGCCGCCGCCGCCGCCGCCGTAGTCGTCGCTTTCGATTCTCGAGCAGCTTCTTCTCCTTTCTTAGCCTGAAACGCGATACTCGTAACTTTCTAAGGACGACTGACGATGCCAACTGGATTTTATCTGCAACGCCACGTGGGTGGTCTACGTTGCTTCAGCATAGCGAGAGCTTTGTGCTTAATTCGAGCCGCGAATGTTGCGACGAAGCCGTGAATTTTGACGACGTCTGGCATCATTTTACGCGCGGACGCGACGAACACGCCGGCGCGGCTCGCGAGTTCTTTTTGGCGAATGAACTTGCAGGCACGAATTTTTCTCTCGTCGGGCATGTCTTGTACATTCGATTCTCCTCCGCCAGTCTTTTTGCGATCCTCGGAAGATTACAATAATCCGCCGTCGAGAACAAGACGAAACATACGCGTCTCAGTGTGCAGCAGCCCCGCCGTAGCGGCGGATGATCCTCCTGTCGACATTTCATTTTCGGCGAGAGCCGTGCTGCAATAATTTACGACGCAACGCGGAGTCCGAGTCCCCTCCGAGTCCGCTCGATTGATTTCCCTCCGCGGCAAATTCGCGGGGAAATGGCACGTTAATATCACTCGCCCGCCAGCGCGGCATTTCGATAATTTGTTTCTCGTGTACTTTTTCCTTGTCCATTTGCGGCTTCGGCCCGTGCTATCTCGTCCGGGATAAATCACCCTCCTCCTCTGTGGGCTGATCGCACGATCACCCACGAAATAATGGCGCACGACGCGTCACTTCCAGCCGGTGGCGGCTCGACACGTGATCCACCTAATAAGATATCCGCGAGGTATCTCGTGTGACCAACAACAACGGGCGACTTTTTCGAGTGTAAACTCGAACGTGTTTGATTCATTCATTTTATTTCGCCGATTCGTTGGCTCGTCCTTCCCTCGATTGGTAGCTCGGGGTCTCGCTGAGCGAGATTTCGCTCATGACGCACAAGTGTCTTATAAATGATATATAAGAGTGCATATATAAATCTCTCGCATAATCTCTCTCTCTCTCTCTCTCTCTCTCTCTCTCCGCGCATATTGTGCAAATTACAGCTCGGCGCGTTTAAAAGCCGCTACAAATGACGCCAAGATTTCCCGCCAGCTCATGAATACCCGACGGCCATTGTGCGCCGGGACGGACAATTAACCGTCCCATTATCCCTCCGCGTTAAAATGCGCGGCGAGGTAAACGTTTCGACGCGCGTATCGCGGCAATTTGTTTCTCGCTTACGAGCACAATCACCGCTGTATATGCCGGCGCCTTCGCTCTGCTCTCCTTCCCCCTCTGCATTGATGATCGCTAGCCCCGATCTACTCGACACGAGGCGATCGACGGCCTCGACGAGGAGGGTTAGGGAAATGTGATGGTGTGCGTAATCCGAGGAGACGCGCCGGCTCACCTCCGAGCGAGATCCATTCGAATCCATCCTGAACAGGTCGAAACAGGCGCGTCGCGGCCGGCCGCGGGGTCGATCGCCCCTCGGCTGCAACGCGTGCGGCCGAGAATAATCCCTTATAAATTTCACGGCTGGTACGATTGGCAACATTCGTCATCCGCGACGTCGTTTTCGTGTCGCCCCACCGACCTGAAACTTTTTCCCGAACGTCGCCTCGCTCCCTTCTTCCCTCGTTCCTCTCTCCCTCTCTCTCTCTCTCTCTCTCTCTCGCTTTCACTGTGACTCATCCCGCCGCCACCCTTTTGCCGGCGTTTCGTTCCGTCCGCAAGAAATCTCCCGCCATAAATCCTGCTCCGTATCCTCGTGCGTGGTACCGGTCCCGTCGGGGTATCTCTTCTTCCTTTTTACTCGGGTTCCACTCGATTTATCGACATTACCTGCCCCTCGGGATGGCCCTACGCGGCGTCCATCTGCGGGCCATCTCATTTTTGCGGGCCGTTCACGAAATAGCGCGGCAGCACGCGCTCGTTGATTCCGCGGGCGCGGTCGCACGCCGGGCCGTGCGCTTTTGCCCCGAAGCGCGACAGCTGTGTAGTGCCGTCGTGGGATTTCAGCCGCCGGCGGAAGATGGATCACGGCGCGGATGCGAGGAGAATTACACGCTGCGCGCGACCGACGCGATGAATCTTTAATTGAAAGGCTCGGCTACTCTCGGCCGCGTCTCTCCACGTGGCCGCGTCGATGCCGAGAAAGAGACAGAGAGAGAGAGAGAGAGAGAGAGAGAGAGAGAGATAGCAAGACACCCGACCCGAGATCGGTGTCGAGGAATGAGCCGAGTTAACTTAATGAAGGGAACGTAGGGCCAATCGGAAAATAGAGTGCGAGCCGGACCCTTCTGTCCTTCTCATTCCGCAGCGTGACGAGACACTTTTCTCGCGTTGCTGGCCGAGCGTTTCCTCGCACGAAAGCTCACCTCGGCCGCCGCCGGGGATTTATTTCGAGTTCGAGGTCGGCGAAACGAGGGCGCGAAAGCGCAGTCAAACGCTCCGGGGAAAAAAGTCGCGGAAAAAATTCGCGCGAGACTCGGCTTACGCGGCGGGTTCCGCCCAGCTCTCTCTCTCTCTCTCTCTCTCTCGCTCTCTCTCCCTCTTGGTGCGCCGCGCGTCGTTGCATCGCGTTGATTTTTTTCTCTTTTACTTGTTCCTCTTTTCCTTTTTTTTTTCTTCCTACGGCGAGTTCGCGGGCCAGTAATTATCGTAGCCGCGCCGCTTTATTTCCGTCGACGGCGGCCGCGCGGAGTTTGCGAAGGGCCAACCGCAGCTGACGCGGTTTGTTCCTCGTGAGTGTTCGCAAGCGCGCGTTTTCTGATCGCGCGCATATTTCGAGCCGATATTTAGCGCGACGCGCGAGATACCGCGGAATTTCGCGCTATTTAAGCCGCGCGTTCGTCTGCTGAAGCTTCTTTGTGCTCCACATCGGCTGACGCGCGTCTCGCGCGGAAATTACTCGAGATGGCCGCGAGCACGATAGACAAAGAAGAATCTGCAAGAGTGTTCGCTGATCGAATTAGCGAAAGAGAGAGAGAGAGAGAGAGAGAGAGAGAGAGAGAGAGAGAGAGCACTTACGAACGATAATCAGTGATTATTCGCCGACTTTCAACGGAAACGCTCCCTTTTTCACTCGTCCGCCTCGTGTCTCGTCGACTTCGCTGGCTTCCGGTAGAAGCCAAGGCTTCGCTGCGCGAAGTCGTCATAGCAGATCCGACTTTTCGCGTTCGCGAGCTGCGTCAGAAACGGGAGCAGTTGCTATTATTAACCGATCCTTCCAGCGAGATTTTACTGCGTGATTGCGCTGTTGCGCTCGCAACATCGCAACGAAGAACGCGCTTCGATCGTATTATATCGAGAGCGCGCGCAGAAACGCAAGCGATAAATTTAGACTTAGTGGGCAAGTCGACCGGTCAATAATTCTGCTCACGGTGCAAGAAGCAGCACCGATTGCTGAATCTTCTCAGCGCTCAGGTTTCTCGCCTACCTGAGCTACCGTGAATTTACCAGCGAATTAGAAAAGGAATTAGAAAAGCGCCGGCCGTGCTTCTTTCCAGGACTGTCCCGGCGAGCCGAAGGACTTCCGGGCGGAGCAGTGCGCGGAGTTCAACAAGGTGCCCTTCGAGGATGTATACTACGAGTGAGTATCGCGCGGGCTAATTATCGGGTTGCTCGATAAGTTTGAAAGAAAGTCTCGAAGCCGAGAGCCGCAACTGATCAGACGCAACTTGACTCCTTCTCGTTCTTCTCAGCGATCTCTTCCGTGCTCGAGGAAGCGGTCGATTCGTTATCGAGCAAAGTTATGCCCGATGAAAGGTATCGGCTTTGAACTCTCGCGAGGCAAAAATCCCTCGCCGAGCAACCCGGTCATTACCAACGGCTTTGATTATTATCGTGTATCAAGTGGAAATCCGTCCGATCGAATTCCCGAAGCGACAGCGTCGCGTCGCGTCGCGTCGCGTCGCGTCGCGCCGCCACGGTGATTTACGATCGGCGCTCCGCGTGGGACGATGACGAAATCCTTTTGTGCTGCCCGGCAGCGCCTAATGATCCCGTCCCTTCGCCCTGTAATCCGCGCTCGCTTGAATCGTCTTTTAATGGGTGACACTATATTTATGGTGCGCTCCCTCCCGCCACGAAAGTTGCCGGCGCGAGGGAACGGGAACGCACGAGCGATACTCCGATACGCGCGGCACAAACGCGCCGTAATTGTGATCGGCCCTCCGTGTGAGACAGTGCCGATCATTATCTCTCATTTGAGTGTGCGCGCGCGCACTTGTTCGCGTCACGGAGTCGCGTGGTCAGACCGCGCGACCGCGGCTCCCGCGACAATGGCGATCGGGGAACAATCGGCAAGGTGTCCGCGTCGTCGAGACGGAGCCTCGCGCTCGGCTGACCGCTCGTCATCATCGTCGCATCTCTCTCTCTCTACCTCTGCCGCAGCTGGATCCCCTACACCGGGAGCCCGAATAAGTGCGAGCTCAACTGCATGCCGCGCGGCGAGAGGTTCTTCTACAGGCATCGGAACACCGTGCTCGACGGCACGCCTTGCAGGCCCGACAGCAACGACGTTTGCGTCAAGGGCAAGTGCATGGTGAGTTGTTAATCGGTAGTGTGTTAATTGCTGCGAATTAAGTCGCACACGTGTCGCGCAACCTGAGCGCGCGAACGATAATAAGGTGTCGCCTCGGCAGAGAGCTCAGCGTGCTTCTCTGTCGAGGCCGAGGACGAAATGCCGGGAGAGGAAGCCGGCGGCTGAGAGAAGCCGGAGGAGGAAAAGATTGAGAACGGGCGAGTGAGAACGTGACGATGAACGAGCCCGACGCGTTTCGGAAAGTCCGGGATATCCAGCCGGATTTACTCAGAAATTCTGTTCGCTTCGGCGAAAACGCTCGTCCGTCCTCGCGCTCGATTTCCGCTCGATCATTTTCCTCCGCGTGCAGAATGCGCGACGCGTTGCGACGCGGGGGCAGGGGTTTCACGGTGATGTTTCCTTCTCGACCAGCACGTCGGCTGCGACATGATGCTGGGCAGCGATGCCAGGGAAGACGCGTGCAGGGAATGCGGCGGCGACGGCTCGGATTGCAATACCGTTAGAGGCTTATTCGACACCGACGACCTTCACGTGGGTGAGTGGGTGGGCTTCTCGCCGATTAATAGTCCAGGCGACGCGATCGCGTCGCCAGCATGCGAGCAGGTCTGCGCGCGTGAGCCTTTCACGGGGAGATAAATCAATTTCCCGCCACTGTGCGAAATTATGTTGTTGCAAGCAACTAACAGCGCCAATAACAGCGATAACAGCGAGATGTTGCGCGTCTTTCAGGCTACGTCGATATCCTGCTGATTCCCGAGGGCGCGACCAACATCGCCATAAGGGAAGTGCGGCCGTCCAATAATTACCTCGGTAAGCGCGCACGGAAAGAGCACGGGCGTTACTTTTACAGAGTAATGGTACCGCGCGTCATAGCGCGTCGCCTAACTTTGATGTCGTTGACAGCAAACGTCCAAATTCATACGTCGTCGTCGTCGTAGACGTTGGAAGACTTGCATCGGGCGATGAGCTTCTCAAAATTAACACATGTGCGATCTCGCCGTGATCTACGTAGGCAGTCTGAAAGGTTCTCGACCTGACACACATACAAGGCATTAGAAACTGTCAAACTGTGATTGTACTGGAAAGCGGCATCCCTGATATAAACCCTGATGTAAAATTTCATTCGATCTGTCGAGTCATTCGAGTAGCGGCACCGGTTGAAAAAGCTTTGTGCAGGACGGGGGTGCCGCATTCGCTAACAATTGACCAGATACGCATTCGAATGCGTGTTTGGCACATTCTAATCGTTTTAAGGAAAATAAAATGGATTTCACGCGGCGTTTCATACAACTGCCGATGAAACTTGAATCCACCACTTGAATACACCAGAGCGAAAAGAACCTTCCGGAGTCACACTTTAATGACGGTATTGAATTATTGGAAAGATACGTTGGAACAAATGTATTGAAGTTTCAGGAGATTATATTGAAAAATGACACATATTTCACGGCAAAAGAAATTTTCTTTCATTGTTAGGTCGAGAACTTTTCAGACTGCAGACTCGTGTATGTCGAAAGTCCAAGTATCCGCGTTCAGAAATCGAAATAACAAGGAGAGACGCGACGTTGGTACTTCTACTCTGATAAACTCCGGAAGAATCCCGGAGGGATACCGTCCCTCCGACTCGTCGACGATCCCCGCGACGTCGCTCTCACCCTGAGAATACACTCGTGAAACTCGTTCGAGCAGCCATACGCAACACCACGGGCCACTACTACCTGAACGGCAACTGGATGATAGACTTCCCGCGCAGCCTGCGCTTCGCCGGCACGACCTTCCACTACACCCGGGACCCGCAAGGGTTCGCGGCGCCCGACATCGTCACGGCCTTGGGACCAACGAACGAGCCGATCTACGTCGTGGTCGGTGCACTGATCGATTATCCGGCGCGTCGTTGAAACGAACCCGAGAGGGATATTAACGCGCAGCTTTTCGCTTTCCGCAGCTGCTGTACCAAGATCGCAACGTGGGCGTGGATTACGAGTACAGCATACCGAGCAAGTTCTCCTCGCACGCGGACCCGGACAGCTACACCTGGATAACCGACGAATTCTCCAGCTGCAGCGCCAGTTGCGGCGGAGGTATTACGGGATTATCACTTTAACGCGATTAGACCAGCGGTGCTCGAGCGCCGCTCGTGTTTCCCCGCGACGACGCGAACAACGTTTTACCTGTTGCGCGCGAATGTTCGCACGTGGAATGATGATAATTCGATCGAGCGACTTCATTCGCAGCCGAACATTTGACGCCTCGATCTGCGCCAACGGAACTCGAGAGAACTCTTTCAACAGCTGAGACGCGCGCGCCGGCGATTCACGCGACCTGGACCTGGTCTCCACCCGGAGAGCCAGGTCCAGGTGGCAGGTTTTAGAAAATTGCGTTATCCACGCGGCGAAAATGTGAACTCAGCGTATCTTGCAAATGCAGCAGATGCGTCGTTGTGAGAAATCTGAGTAATTTCCCGAACAGCTTACATACCCGTCATTTCTGACCGCTCGGCGGCAGACATTTCGTCAACAGTTGTTGCTGATGAATCGTCTTGGAGATCAAGCATCAGCGACGGTGAGATGTTTACGTAATCTCCTGGGGAAATAAATTAATTGCATCCGCGTAACGCGCGAACGCCGCGTAATGCCAGCTGCTAATTATTAACCGTCAGTTCGAAGCGCAGCAGCCAGAACAGAGGCGGATCGCTCGTCCGCGACGAAACCCATTTTCCCCGAGCGCCTCTCGCCAAGTGACAATTACACGCGTATTACTCGCGTAAAGGAGAGGTCCATTGCACGCTTCATTTATCTCCGAAGGCTACCAATCGAGACGGGTGGCCTGCGTGCGGAGGCGCGACAGCCAGCGAGTAGACGATGGCCTGTGCGATCTGCAGCTGGAGCCACTTGACACGCAGAGCTGCGGCGAGGAACCCTGTCCGCCGATGTGGGTGGAGGGTCCATGGTTCCCCTGCACCAAGCAGTGCGGCGAGGGGGGCGAGCAGAGTCGGGAGATCAAGTGCGAGCAGGTCATCTCGGGCGGGATAGCCTCCGTGGTGGACGACTCGCAGTGCCTGGAGAAAGTGGGCCCGAAGGGGCCCGCTAGGCAGGAATGCAACAGAGACGTGGACTGCCCGCAGTGGCACGAAGGGCCCTGGAAGCCGGTGAGTCGCCTCGTAGTACCATTGAACATCATCAGTCGAACGACGACGTCGGTCTTACAATTTTCCACTCGACTCAACGCGTGAAGCTATGACGCATCCTGCAAGCGTAGCGGTTGCATCGTTGAGTGGAGGAGTGGGATGGGGGAAGAGGGGGGGGTTGTAACATTGATACAACGTTATTGGTGTTTGCTGGGTGTAAAACACTGACGTTTCGCTTCATTCCGCTTCATCTGAAGCCGTGTCCCATAGCTTTTCTCATTTACGCTAATCTACGCGCTGATTTGTTTATCACCTCTCACGTGATTTCTCACGAGCGACGGGGGGGAGAGGGGCGGGGCTGAGACCACCGGGGCGAGATTCACCGGTGTCGGTGGTAGCTCGCGCGTGTCTCCTTAAGAGCGTGAAATCACTGCTTCGCCCTCGTTAAGGCTCTGTTATTCCGAGGATCGGAGGATATACGCACGGTGAGGAATGAATGCTTCTCCTAGTGCGATCATATATGCGGGCCTGGCAAACAAAGCAGGACGGTCACGTGCTACAGAAAAGTGGACGGCAGGATCCAAGTGCTGGAAGATGAGGCGTGCGAGACGGAAGCGCCGGAACGTGAGAAGACTTGCGAGCTCAGGCCCTGCGCCGGCCTCGACTGGGTCACCTCGGAATGGAGCGGAGTGAGTCCTTCTAACTTTCCGTCGAGTGAGGGAGAAAAAGAAAATAGATTGTCGAATTTCTATTTCTCCACCGCGCTGCTCGGGCGCTCGGTCGGAAACGTGTGCAGACGTAATTCGAGAATCTGTCTCTGCCCGACAGTGCGAGGAGACGTGCGACCTCACCAAGGAGACCAGAAGCAGCCAGTGCGCAACTCAAGACGGCGCCGTTTATTCGGACGACATGTGCGACGCGGGCAGAAAGCCCGAGCTGGAGAGGGAATGCGAGAAGAGCAAAGACTGCGACTTCCAGTGGTTCAGCTCGCAATGGAGCAAGGTGAGCGGGGACAAGCAAACTTCCGTCCGCTTCCGCTTCGTATTCTTATCCCGGAATGACCGGAGTGAGAAATATCCCGAAAGCAAGATATCCTCTTCATCGTTCCGCATCCATCCATCCATCTCCTTCGCATCTCCTCTGGTCATCGCGATTACTCTGTTCGCAGTGCTCGGCCAAGTGCGGCTCCGGTGTTCAGACCCGCAAGGTGTTCTGCGGCACCTTCAGCGACGACACCGTGAAGAAGGTCGCGGACGACAATTGCGATCCCGAGGAGAAGTTCGAGGACACGAAGAACTGCACCGCCAAAGAGCCGTGCAAGGGCGAGTGGTTCGCGGGACCTTGGAGCAAGGTTCGTCTTTGTCGGGAATTCGTATTCCGGAAATGCGATGTTTCTCGTCGTTGTTAATGATAAATCATGCGGCGAATTTTACGGGGTTACGTGATCTCGTGACTCCTTTTTTGCAATATTTACGCACAATTATCGTTGCTCCGCGCTCGGCTTCCGCGCTTCCTGTGAAGTTCGGGATCTAGTTCGCGCCTAGCTCGTTTGTTATCGTCAGGCTTATTAAGAGGCTGTAATCAACAGCGTCGTCAATCATAACGTGTTGCAGTGCTCAAAGCCATGTGGCGGCGGCGACATGATGCGCAAGGTGATTTGCATGAAGGATAATAAGACGGTTCCTGTGAGCCAGTGCGACGCCAGCAACATTATGTTCTCCACTGAAAAGTGTAACGATCAGCCTTGCGAGGAAGGTGAGAATATCTTGCGGTTCGCAATCGCCACGAACGTTCTTCGGCGACTCGCTCCCCTAGAGAAAATTTCGCGCAAACTCGACAGAAATGTTTTCACTTTCGAGTGAAAATAGTTAACACAGGATCGCTGAATGCACACACTCGACCGAAAGTAACAGAGACACTTGAGCGTTGATCTCGCTCTTGATTTGGAATGCGGGCAAAGACGAAAGATGAGATCGAGCTCGACGTACGGTATATCGTGCGGAAAATAGGCTCCATATTTACTTGTACATCGCGTCATCTCTCGGTGCTTACGAGAGCCCTCATTACGAGAGCCGGGGATAATAATACGGAAATTAACATTCGCTCCGTCATAACGCGGGCTGCGTGATTTATACCGCGAAGGCGAGCCCCCTCTTCGGCCATAAACATATCGCGGCCGCGTGTGTAAAATATTGCTCGACATGCTCGGAACAGCGGGCGCGAAAATAATGAGGTTCGTGGCATTAAACGCAAATGTCTTAGCACCTGCCATTCTAAAGGGCGGCCACCCACCGTGAATATAACAGCACCCTCCCCTCTGTGGCGAGGGAAATTACATTTCTGTCGCGCTATCCGAGCTAGTCAACGAGGAATACATAAAACGCACGCGTGCGACCACCCCGACGTCGAAAGAGCGCTCTCTCCCGTCACCCCCTCGAGCTCGGGCCTGCGATGACGGGTTTCTAAAGGTGCCGAAGTTCCGAGTGGGAGACGCCATTCGAGAGATTGACGAGCGCCCGCCGTTTCCGAAATCACTCGTTCGCAACATATCCGCGTGAATTTACGTAAACTCGTCGTTCCGCTGTGTCTTCAGGCGTGACACCGAGCGATGAAGAGGGAGACAGCGAGACATCGGATATGAAGGAGGTGGACGCGGGGGTGGACGAAGAAGAGGAGGAGTGCGAAGACGAGGAAGAGGGGGAGGAGGAGGAGGAGGAGGTAGAAGGTGTCCCCGAAATCAGCTTATCCGCGGGGGTGAGTGGAACTGAATCATGTCGCGCGTAATCGAGTATCAGACGCGACTGAGTTACCTTGTAACTTCGTTTCTTACCGCTCCACTGTTCCAACGAGCCATGTTCGGACTCGATCGAGCTGAGAACGCTCTCGATCCGGTAATGCGATTCTCCCTCGATTTCGCTTTGTGATCGACGGGACTCGCGCGGCGCGGCGCGACCCGACCATCGCGCTCGGTTCCTCTTTTTATTCCCCGTTTCAGCAGCCCACGTTAGCCAGACTGCTCGGGCAAACGGAAATGACGCCCTTGAGCTCGCCGTTCACGGGAAGCGACATCTACGACACCATGTTCAGCGACTCCACGAGGGGCGACATACCGCCTTCCGAGCTCGGCAGCGGCGAGGGCAGCGGCGACGATGACTTCACCGTGTTCGACACCACCTTCTTCGTCGACGGCAGCGCGTTCACCACCGTCGAGAAGAGCGATACTCCGGCCAGCGGAGCCACGGACAGTAAAGCTGGCACGACGGAGTTCGGCACGGAGGTGACCGAGTCGTCGGACATCACCGACGAGACCGAGACCACGGTCGAAGGATCTGGAACCACCATCGAGGAAGAGTCTGGCGCGACCTCGTCTACGGACATGGAAGGAAGCACGATGGAAGGGACTCAAGCCGCGACTACTGAATCCGGCGGTATGTTCTTGCTTGTTGAGAATTTTCGGAAAAATGCGTGATTTGACGTGACTTCGCACATCTGTTATTAATTATTTAGGCACCAAGTCGGAAATGACGGAAATGTCGACCGACTCCTCCGCCACCACCGAAAGTGGCGGAACGACCAGTAGCGCGGAGGTCGAGTCGACAGTCAATGAGAGCTCGGAGCCGACCACGACCGAATCCAGCGACATGACGACCGGCTCCAGCGACGTGACGACCGGTTCCAGCGACGTGACGACCGGCTCCAGCGACATGACGACCGGCTCTAGCGACGTGACGACCGGGTCTAGCGACGTGACGACCGGCTCCAGCGACATGACGACCGGCTCCAGCGACATGACGACCGGCTCCAGCGACATGACGACCGGCTCCAGCGACATGACGACCGGCTCCAGCGACGTGACGACCGGCTCCAGCGACGTGACGACCGATACGACCGAATCTGTTGGTACCGATGTCACCACCGGTTCTACGGAGACCACGATCTCTTCGTCGGAGACCGACTCGACGGAGTCTACCGAGACTGACGTTACGGACACCACCGAGACTCAAACGACCGACTCGACGGAAACGCAAACCACACCAACCACCGATCCCACGGACACCACGGAGTCTACGGACACGACCGAGTCCACGGAGTCCACGGAGCCTACGGACACGACCGAGTCCACGGAGTCCACGGAGTCTCAGCCGACTACGTCGTCTTCGGAGACGGAAACCACGCTCACAGGCGAAACGGAAACGACCGGAAGTGCGGAGACCACAGATTCTAGCACTACGTCCCGTAAGCAGTAAAATGCTGGAATAGATTTCTATAACGTCGCGTAATGTAATTATTAAACTTAGTCGTGAGAATCAGAAACTTTGTTTCCTTAGATCAAAATTTACTTGGTTCGTTGATTCAACTTTTTTTCTTCGCGCATCATTTTTTTAAACGCAACTTTTTAAATATAATTTACGTTTCCCGCTTATCATTACTGAATATACGAATTACACGAGCCTCTTGCATTCGGCTATCGGCGTAAAATTAAGGAGCATCAGGCAGCAAAATACGATATACACGCGATATTCTACAGAAACAACGACCGAAATGACTCCGACCACGCAGATGTCTAAGGAGACGACTGAACCAGAAGATAAAAACGACTCCGAAGCCGAAGTAGAAGGCAATACGTCTCTCGCCCTCGAAGAAACGGATCTCTCCACGGAAAGCAGCGGTTCTACGGAAGAAACTACCGTATTCGGGACGAGTCCGTCCGGCATGACTGAAACTACCAGCAGCGGCGAGACAACCGAATCGGGACAGACCACGGAATCGGCAGAAACAACCGAATCGAGAATGAGCACGGAATCATCAGCTGCGACAACGGAGTCCGCTATGAGCACAGAGTCAGCTGAGACGACAGAGTCTGAGCTGACGACCGAGTCCGGCGGAACCACGATGCCAAGCGAGACCACCGAGTCGGCAGAAACGACGGAATCGGGAGAGACGACGGAATCGGGAGAGACGACGGAGTCAGGAGAGACGACGGAATCGGGAGCGACGACGGAATCCGGAGTGACGACGGAATCCGGAGCGACGACGGAATCCGGAGCAACGACGGAATCCGGAGCGACTACGGAGTCTGGAGCGACCACAGAGTCCGGCGAGACCACGGAATCGGGACAGACGACAGAGTCCGGCGAAACCACCGTGACAGCCTCGACGGAAGTGACGGAAACCACCGAGTCGGGCGAAACGACCGAATCGTCCGTCACGTCTTCCGGGGAGACTACTGTGTCTGGTGAGACCGAAGTCACGTCCTCCACGATCAGCGGAGAAACCGAGCTGACCGGAAAGACTCATAGTAAGTCGATTGAAGATGACGAGATGTTTATGTTTCTCTTCCACCTCCCTCCTCTCGTTCTTTCTCTCTTTTCCTTCGATGCGCAAATATGCGATATGCCGATGTTATTTCAGTCACCGAGTTCTGGACGACCGTGTTCCCGGATATGACGACGCGCAAGCGGCAGTGCAAGCCGAGAAAGAGCTGCAAGAAGACGCCGTTCGGCTGCTGCTACGACGGCATCACCGCGGCTCAAGGACCGTTCGGTCAAGGTTGCCCGACGCCGCAGACGTGCGACGAAATGCGATACGGTTGCTGCCCCGATGGCGTGTCGCCAGCTACTGGCCCGAAGAACAAGGGCTGCCCAGCCTCTCGTTGCAACGAGTCGCTCTTTGGATGCTGCCCAGATGGTGTCACCACAGCGGAGGGCAACGATTACGAGGGCTGCAAGAAGCCGTGCGAGCAGACGGAGTCAGTTTCATGTTATAAATTTAGTTCTTTCTCTCTCTCTTTCTCTCTCTTTCTTTCTCTCTCTCTCTCTCTCTCTCTCTTTCTCTCTCTCTCTCTCTCTCTCCTTCTCTCTCGTAGGACCTTTCCTTCGCTTCTCCGAAATGAACGATATGCTGAATTCAATGCTGAATTTCCAGGTTCGGATGCTGCCCAGACCAAGAGACGCCAGCTACCGGGAAAGACAATATGGGATGTTGCAACGTCACCGAGTTTGGCTGCTGTCCCGATGGTATTAAAGCCGCTTCTGGTTTCGATGGCGAAGGTACCTAACTTACTGTTCTTTCGATGAAACACGCTTATCGTGTCTCTCTTATCGTGCGAATCATCCGTTTCGTTAAGGTTGCGAAGAAGAAGAGGTCACTTCCGTGACATCTCTAACCGAGATGTACGAGACAACCACTCAACTCGTACCGTACGAGGACTGCGCGAACACCACCTACGGCTGCTGCCCTGACGGCGTCACCACTGCGAACGGCACGAACTTTGCCGGATGCGGCGTCATTAACACCGAAAACTGCACGGCGTCCTACTTCGGTTGCTGCTCCGACGGAGTCTCCGCAGGTACAAATCGCCAATATCAACAAAATGTATTCATTTATTTATTTTTATTATCATCGCATAACGCGTAACGTGTACAATCAACCAAAAGAAGCAGCAACGGCTTCACAGTTGGTATGTCTTTGCTCTCTCAAACATGCGGCGTGTAAAAATCACAAGAAGCGAGATGGTGATAATAATAATAATAATGAAAATAATAATTATCAAGGCTTCGAGACTTCGTCAATTTTCACGCGACACGTAATCGAGCGGAGCTTCCGGGTGTGACGTCGCCGTTCAATATCAATTCCCTTTATCGACTTAATCTCGCCGCACGCGTCATCGGGCGTCTGCATCGGCGACCACCAGGACGACTCCTCTCAGCATGCTACGTCTCGTCTCGTCTTCGCCGCTCACGCTCGCGATTATCTCGTCTCTCCCGTAGCTCTCGGGCCGGACAATTACGGTTGTCGCATGCCGTGCGAGGACACCGTTTATAGATGCTGCGAGGACGGCGTTACGCCGGCTCACGGGCCGAACAATGAAGGCTGCTGCTTATCGAGCCCGTACAAGTGCTGTCCGGATAACATGATGCCGGCGCGCGGACCAAACTTCTACGGCTGCGGCTGCCAATACACGAGATTTGGCTGCTGCCCGGATAATTCGACGGCGGCGCGCGGCCCGGGTAACGAAGGCTGCGGCTGTCAGTACACGCCTCACGACTGCTGCCCGAACCGCTTCACCCCCGCTAGCGGACCCAATTTCGAGGGATGCCCGTGCTACACTTATCAGTTCGGATGCTGCCCCGACGGCGTCACCATTGCCAAGGGCGCTCGTGGTCAAGGTAACCGCGCGATCGCTCGACGGTCGACCGTGGTCAAATTTCAAGCTTGCCATGAATGCTGTGGGTTTTAATTAACACGCGCTTCTCGTTTTCTTTGTCTTTGTGAAACTCGAGTCTCGTTTATCCGGAAACTCGAATACACGTATTTAGTTCTGAAAGTTAGAAAAAGGGAGTAAGGAAGCGTTATAGCAAGTTGACACATTTAATGAGACTCGGACGGAAATTTAGAACGCAGAAAGCGGGGAAATGAAGTAATGTGGAATTGAATGAGGAAAAGTGGGGAAAAATCGGAGGTACGAAAATCGAGGCCACAACTCGAGCGGGGACGAATCGCGCAAAAGCGAACGCTACGTTGCGACACTCATGCACAGCTGTGGCTCGCGATGCTCGCAGGTTGCGGATGCGAGAATACGGAATTCAATTGCTGTTCGGATGAAAGGACACCGGCCAAGGGTCCGAACTTCGCCGGGTGTACGTGCGACGCGTCGCAGTTCGGATGCTGCCCGGACGGAGTCGAGGAGGCGCAGGGTGAGAACTTTGAGGGTTGCCTCACGGTGCCTTCCATGCCCGGAGCCACGTGCGGATTGGCGAAGGACAGAGGTTCCTGCCGCGACTTCACCGTCAAGTGGTACTACGACACCGACTACGGCGGCTGCTCGAGGTTCTGGTACGGAGGCTGCAAGGGTAACGAGAACCGTTTCAAAACGCAAGAGGAGTGCAAGGAGGTTTGCGTTCAGCCGAAGGGGAAAGGTAACTGCACTTAAGGATCATTCGTCGCAAACGCAAGTAGGGGGAAAAATAGGTTCTCCTTATGAAAGAAATCATGATAGGACCGCGCATATTCCTGTCATTAAAGCAGCGAATCTTCAATTCTCGCTTTGCAGCTGCTTGTTTCTTGCCGAAGATCGCCGGCCCTTGCAAAGGGTACCAACCGACATGGTACTACGACGCCGATAGGAAACAGTGCGGTCAATTCGTTTACGGCGGTTGCCTCGGTAATGCCAATAAGTTCAAGACCAAGGAGGAGTGCGAGGAACTCTGCGTCACGCCTGATGGCGTCGGTAAGGAATTGCTCTCGATGGCGCTGGTAACGATTAATATTCATGCGCGCAAGAAGATGCCCGAGATTCGCAGCGTCTCCGAATTCATAGCTGACTCTTAAATATCTGAAGAACATCGATCTGCGGTCGATCAGTGACGTGTCGAAAAGCTAAATCGTTCGAAAGTAATCGTTCCAACTTCCCGCAGATCCATGCGAGCAGCTGAAGGAAATCGGTCCCTGCGCCGGCAATTTCACGAGATGGTACTTCAACGCAGAATCGCAGAATTGCGAGCAGTTCGTTTACGGCGGCTGCAAAGCCAACGGCAACAACTTCCCCACGGAAATTGCTTGCCATCAGCAGTGCCTGCAGCCAGGCCGAAGGAGAGGTACGTTCCTTTCTATTTTATACATATTACCGTTCAGAGATCTCCTGTATTTTATTTTCGCATATTATCTTACCGACTTACTTGCACGGCGCGAGTAGTCACTGCAGGTTGACTACGCCGAGTCTGGGGATTGATCAAACCTGATGATAACAGTATTTATGATCACGCAGATCGTTCCAACTGGCGGTCTCACACTCTTAGCGGCAACGACTAACTTTACCGAAGACCGATATCGGGCATAATCAATACGACCCGAGCCTGATAATAATAACGCGAGGCGCGTACTAACGCGTCCGTTGTTGCAGAGTAGCCAATTAATCGCCGTATCTCGGATAATATCCCACACGATTAATTCCGCTCGGTAACTGAGCTGATTAGCCGCGCGCGAAGTTGAAGGAACCGAAATTTGCGGTGCAACAACATTTGCCATCGATTCTCGGCTAAGCGAGACAAACCCGGCGCGCGCATATTTTCACACACGGCAAGCGATCGGTGAGCCGAGCGTGTCCCGAGCAATTAGAAACTCCCCCCCCCCTCCCTGCCAGCGTTATTAGTTCTAAACACTTCGCTTGCACGTGGTTCGGCTGGACCGCACCGAGTGATGAACGAACTTTTGCAGTCAAACTACCGAGCGTGTGCGCCATGAAGAGAGACCCCGGGCCGTGTCCGGGCTCGGCGTTGCGCTGGTATTACGATACCGAGCGCGGCATTTGTAAGCAATTTGTTTACGGCGGTTGCAAGGGCAATCTCAATAGATTCCGTACCTTCGCTGCCTGCCAGCAGCGTTGCCCCTCGCAAGGTACAGAAAACCCCTAAGAGCAGAGCTTTTGATCGCTTCGGTCGGATTAACAACATCACGCGCGCTCCGCAATCTCGACGTGATCTCGACGTCGAGCACAGCTCTCTCTCTCTCTCTCTCTCTCGGCTCTCGAGCCAGTACTTTCCTCTGCGTTGTTACACGCACATCTTCTCTTCGCTGGCAATGGTGACGGAGGGAAACGCACGCACGCACGACGCCAAGTGCACAATGTGAGACACACGCGAGTCGCGACACTGCGAATCCGAGGCGCGGTAATTTCACGCGCGAAATCGACCGAAGCTTTCCTTCCGCGCTTTCTTCCAGTCGGCGGCTCAAGTCGCCGTGTCGTTCGTGTATGTGTTAAGTGCACGTTAAACCAGAGGTAGAGTTAGAGGTAACAATGAACGTTATAAAGAAAGCTTCAACCAATCGCACGGTTATGCACGTGTAAAAATGACACCCTCGGATTCGCAGTGGAGCTGTTGGAGATTCGTCGAGTGACGGACGATCGTTGTCATCGTTTCCCACAAAGCGTTATGTTTCTTTTTTAAGCGCGTCATCGAATGGAAAATCATAAGGCTGATGTTGTGAATTAACCCGGTTATTTCCCGGCACGCTTTTACTTGCAAGATTCACCGTCGCACTCGTGTCAGGAGCTCTCGAGCTAGCACTCACACACAGCGCGAATGTTTTACTTCGACTTCTTCACGTAGCGTGTTTGACGGGAGATAAAGGACCTCCTGCCGAATTTGAGTTTAAATCGAATCGAAGAAATCGCAGGATAATACTTTTGCCGGTCGTCGACGCTTGTCGACAGTAAACCCGACGTGACTGTCAGGGACTTGGTTTTATATCGCAACTCACAACGTAACACTAACACACACACACACACACACGGTGGCGGGGTATAAGAGCTGAACGCAGGTTCTCCCGAGGAATACTAATCACCCTGATCGAGTTCACCGGCGCGAAGCGAAGTCCCGACAATCAGCGACAGTTAATATCGAAGTGGCCGAGACACACCGTTGAATCGAGCTCTGTCTAACTCCGCATGTTATAATAATCAATGCGATTAACAGATACTTGCACGTTGCCACGGGCGGAGGGTACATGCACGGAGAAGCAATCTCGCTGGTACTTCGATCAGTCGGAGAACCGCTGCATGCCGTTCTATTACACAGGCTGTGGTGGCAATAGAAATAACTTTGAATCTAGAGAAGCATGCGAATCCGATTGCCCGGCTAAGATCGGTAAGCCACGACACTCACCTGTAACGTCCTCCTACACTTCGCACAGTGTGTGCGTTAAGGGCGACAGAGAGTGTCTCTGTCGCCCTTAACGGTACCACATTTTCCTTTTCTGCGCTTTTTAGCGAACTTCCCTCCCTCCACGTAAAATCCTACCGTAAAAAGAAGTATCTGACTAGAAGGAATTGCACATATACACGCGCACGTCACGCTTGATATCGCATCGCACAAGATTCTTTTCTGTGATAATAAAATGTGTGGTGTTGCCGCCAGAGTTACCGGAATTTGTACTTTTGCAAACTCTCGAAATTGCGATATTTCTATGAAATTCAAAAGATTCATTCTCGTCTTTCATTTCCTTTTTGCATCATCGTCATCATCATCATCATCATCATCATCATCATTATGGATTAGACGATCAATGAGTAAAGTTAGTCACACCTCGAGACATTGACAGCAACAGAGAGAAGTCTTAATTAATCGTCCGCTCCGCGATTTTCGCGATGTGCATCTCACGCGAGTCGAATCGATCGGACGCGAACGAAATTCTTCGGCACAGCGATCAGCAACGCCGAATCAGCAATGTAATCTCCGACTTTGCGCGATACGCAGAGCAAGACAGCTGCCTCCTGCCCGCCCTCCCGGGCGATTGTCACAATTACACTCAACGATGGTACTACGACTCCTACGAGCAGCACTGCCGGCTCTTCTACTACGGCGGATGCGGCGGCAATGAGAACAACTTCGAGACCGAGCACGACTGCGTCAACAGGTGCGTGACGGCCGTCACCACACCGGCTCCGCCGGGGAGAGAGCTCGAGTTCCGAACAGGTAACGCTCCCGATAACTCCGGAAATTATCCGTTACGAGCGACGATACTACCGGGAGATCTCCCCCCCCCCCCGCCTGCCCCACAGAGTTCTGCTTCCTGCCCGACGAGCACGGGCCCTGCTCCGGGGATCAAGCCAAGTGGTTCTACGACAGCCGCGATGGGCTTTGCAGGCAGTTCCTATACGGCGGCTGTCAGAGCAACGGCAACAACTTCAACACTCGCGAGGAATGCGAGTACCGCTGCGGCGAAGTTCAAGGTACGTCATACGAAGAGCGGCCGTGTGAAGTTTACTAAACGACTCACAAAGCGTCACGTCATAATTAGATTGAGAGTTTTGTAAGTACTTCCTGATTGACGATTGTGATGGGCCTGACAAGACGCACGGTTATAACTCAAGGAAGAAGGAGAAAGATATATCTGTCAATATTTACGTGGTCGAGAAATTGTCGTTTCGTGGCAGTGACGCTTTCTTCTAGGTGGAATAGCTTCGAAGAGCTGAGAATCGCTTTCATTTTTCTTTTCTTTTATTTATTTAAATTAGCACGAGTTGGTAATAGTTATTATCTCACCTTGTTGAATGAACCTACGTAGTTAATGGCGGTTAAAGGAGGAAGGTTTAAAGGAGAAAGTTTTCCAAATTCCAGACCTCTGCACGCTGCCCAAGGTGGTCGGACCTTGCAACGGCTTTGTGCAGCAGTTCTACTACGATCGACGCGCCGATTCCTGCTACGAGTTCGAGTACAGTGGCTGCCAAGGCAACAGGAATCGCTTCCAGGACAGAGAGTCCTGCGAGGCCAAGTGCAAACGGCAACCGCCACCTCCTACGCCATCGCCAATCGCGCGAATCACGACCACGTTGGCTCCGTCAATCGAGGAGCCCAAGAGCCCGATTTGCTCGGCGCCGGCCGATCCTGGCGACTGCGATGGCACCATCACCGCGTATTACTACGACGCGCAGCAGCACATGTGCCAGGCTTTCATATACGGCGGCTGCGGCGGAAACGCCAACAAGTTCCAGACGGAGGAGCAGTGCGAGCGGCTCTGCGGGAAATTCCACGGACAAGGTAAATCGCGATGCTCTCGAGAGGATCGCTGCTCCTCGACTGTCCCTTTCAATCAGGTGGCTTCGTCATGTTCTTTCATTGCCGTAAGAGAATTTTTATACGAAGATAAATGTTCAGCGCTTGTAGTGAACATCCTATCCTACGAATCGCGACTTGATGAATCGCAGCTTACCGTGCCGCTGAGGTCCGATCTTGCAGATTTAAAGACACGTCTTGAAATGACAATTCCACTTGGAGATGGATTATTGCGCGTAATCAACGTATGATCACCGCGTTTCAGACGTGTGCAACCTCCCCGTGGACTCCGGCCCGTGCAGAGGCGCTTTCCGAAAGTACTACTACGAGCCGAGCACGCGCTCCTGCCGCGAATTCACCTACGGCGGCTGCGACGGCAACGCGAACCGATTCAGTACGATCCCCGAGTGCGAGTCGATCTGCATCCATCAGGAGGAACCGGTACCGCCCGGCAACGACACCAGCGTTTCGAATCTGTGTAAGTAACTCGGTCTCGAGCGTAACGACCCCCTTCGAGTCGCATTCGACCGCCGCGCGATCGCGGCGATTCTCGTCGAGCCCACCGCGGCGGATCGATCGGCCTTGTGCAGTAACGAGCTTGTGGTGATGATGCAGCGATCTGCAAAGAACCGGTCGACAGCGGCTCCTGCACGTCCGGCGGCACCAAACGCTTCTATTTCGACGAGGAACACCAAGCGTGCCGGGCGTTCATTTACACCGGCTGCGGTGGCAATCGCAACAGATTCAAGACCTTCGAGTCTTGCATTAACACTTGCCTTAGGAGTAAGTCCAGGATATGAGACCGCTAGTGAATCTTTTCGTTTGTTCTCCAGTTCCCCCCGCAGACCTCGTCTTTCTTCGCCTTTTTACTCGCCAGTCGTCTTCCTTTGTACATATATGTATCACTTCACCTGCGACATCTTTTATATGTTTTTTCACATTCTTCCGCTTGATTCTTTTACATGGTTCCCCACAATCATCTCTGTCTCTCTATTTTTTATATTGTATTTATACCTGCGGTATAAGAATATGCTTGTACGCTTCGCCGAGTCCATGAGATCTGTCATGTGAAAGAACTCAGGATGACAAGATGGATGAACTTTACGCAATTAATGATTGTACATATAATTATTAATCACGTGAAAATCGTGTGTGATTAATAATTATATATGACTATATGCGTAGTCATTAATTTTATAAGAAAAAGAACTTTGCCTCTGAAATCGGAACGTGAAAGTGACCAAGAAGAGCGTGAACTTGATGAGTTCCCGCGAAATACGACTCGTTGCGAATCATTCGTAACAGCTTTCCAACAGCTTCTATGGTGGTCGACATTGTTATAAATCGAAACGTACAAAGACCTCAAGTGTCGCATTGCTTCTTTTTCTTGTACAGCGATTGTAACGCGTTGGCAGCTTTTTTCCTTTATGTCAAATTTATTCTCCTGAACCCGAGAAGAGAGAAAATTCCTCAGCTTCGCGTTTGACATGCAACTGCATTGCAGCGAGCAACGAGATAGACGTGGACTCGAAGGACACGAAAGATCGATGCGCCGAGGCCAAGGAGGAGTGCAACATCGTCCACTGTCCGTACGGCAAAGAGCAGTACGTGGACGAGCAGGATTGCGAACGCTGCCGCTGCGTGGATCCTTGCAGGACGATGACCTGTCCCGAGGCCACCCGGTGCACCATTACCCTAGTCGCTACGCAAGACGGCACGGAGTACAGAGGCGTTTGTCAATCGAGTGAGTCTCACCAACGACACGAAACTACTCGGTTACCTCGAAATCTTTATCTTACTTCCGACTTTTCCCACTCCCGGATTGTTTCCTCGCAAACATTTGGCGCGAGACAATTGGCGGAGATCCACATAATATCTGTATAATATTTATATTTTGTAGGAAGAATTGCCAATTGTTACATGGAGAAGTTGCGCTCAAAAATATGACACGCGTAAACCTTTTCTCTTTCTCTCCTTAAAAAGTCGTCCTGCCGTGAAAATTATTTGTCGGCCCCGTTGTTGGCCGATTGAGGAACAAGCTGACAGGTGAAATGAACGTTGCAGCCGTGAAAGCCGGTCGCTGCCCGAGAGTATCCAATAGCACGAGATGCGAGCAGGAGTGCGCGACGGACGCGGACTGCGTCGGCGAGTTGAAATGCTGCGACAGCGGTTGCGGCACATCCTGCCTCGAGCCAGCGCCGGAGGAGCCTCTAACAACGACGCCACGGCCCACCGTCACGCCGCCGCAGTACGGTGGCTCACCTGCGATGATCCAGCAACCGGAGGAGCCTCGTGTCAGCGCACAGGAGGGCGGCTACGTGACGTTGAAGTGCATCGCGTTAGGAATTCCTAGGCCGACCATCACGTGGAGGAAGGACACCACGCTGGTGAGTTGTCTACCTCAGCAGTACGTTCCATTTTTCTATAATTTCCTGGATTCTCCATAAGTGGAAAGATTTTTCAAGCGAGTAAGATAATTCAGTGAAAAGTAAGTAAAAAAAAAAAACAAGGAGATGAGGCAGAGAAATTGAAATACGATACCTTCAGATCGGACCTTCCGAGGCGAGACGACGCATACTGCACGACGGGTCCCTCCAGATCACCAACTTGTACACCTACGACAGGGGAGCTTACGTGTGCACCGCCGACAATGGTCTAGGACCGCCGGTAAGAGCGGAGTATCAACTGAACGTCACAGGTACGTGAAGAAGAGAATTCAATTGTCTCATAACGGGCATGGCTCTCTGTCTCTCTCTCTCTCTCTCTCTCTGGGCATATAAAATGTTAGCGTTAACAGGTGATTTGAGATGGTATTGTTGAACTGTTGAGTGGGATTCTGTACGAATTTGACCGCGAATATGAGCTCCTCGTACGAATAACGTAGATCTTGCATTTAACATCGGCAACGATATATTGCCCGGTGACGGTACAATTAATTCGTCTGGCCTGCATATCTCTGATGTCTCGCACGTTGCACGCACGCTCTTCTTTCTTGCATCCTGTAGAACCGCGCCAACTCTCCGTCTCCATCATCGGCGAGCCCGACACTCGCATAACAGTGGTGATGAACTCGCCGATAACTCTGCATTGTTACGCTGTGGGTTGGCCAAGGCCGCACGTCACTTGGTGGCGCGGCGAGGACATGCTACCCCTGTTTTCGAGTAATTACGAGCAGGACAACGACTATAGCCTCCTGATACGTTCGGTAACTCTGACCAGCCTCGGTGTTTACACCTGCCAAGCGTACAACGCTATGGGCAAAGCGGCCTCTTGGTCGACGACCTTGCAAGCGGTCGGGCCGGTCTACAACGTTAAACCCGAGCACCAAGAGTACACCAAGTTCCTCGTGCAACCTCCGAGGAAACCCGTCACCACCGAGAAACCGCAGTACCCATACAGACCCACCAGAACACCGTCACCCGAGTATCAGACCTTCGCTCCCATTTATCCTTCTAAATCTACTCATTTGCCTCCTTTCATCCCAACCACCACCGTCGAGCCTGCCAAGTTCAAAGGTGAGACCGCGCGATGGCACGTTTTCGAGTTGCGCCTATCTTTGCGCGAAGTTTGAGCGAATTTGTCGGGCGAGGGGTCGGAAACATTTTCCTCCTTTGAGATCTCCCGTAGAATTCACGTTCGAGTTTTATACGGCTAAAATGGTGAAAAGTTTACACGTAAAATTTATTAAATCTCTGTGACCCAAGTCCCTCGCCCTGACCTGCGACCTGCGATCGCAATGACGGCGCCAATCGAGATTTCTTTTCTCGTGGCTTCTTATTTCGTGCACTTGCATGCGTGCCTACACATCATGTCGTCGCTTGGGCTGCGTTACCCGCTTGTTGGCTGTTTTAAGTGTTAAGCCGACAACTTAACGATCAATAACGTTTCTCATACAGATACAGATCGACGAAATTCGTGTAAGTAAATTACAGTTTTCACATCCTCTTGCTTCGTACATTTTTCTAATTTTTTGTTTCTTCTTTTTGATATGCCGCATACATGAGAGAGTGTTAATAACGTGATTCGTGCTTAGTGCCCGTCAAAGTCAACGTAACGGTGGAGCAGTCGCAGTTCCCCGAAGGCAGCGAAATAAGCATCGGCTGCGGCGTGGACGGCTATCCCATTCCGCGTGTACTCTGGTACAAGAACGACGAGCTTATTCGAACGGACAACCGCATCAAGATTTCCGGTAAGATCACGAAAATAAGTGACACCGTGCTGGCGAGTGAGTGAAACAGGACGCACTTGCGTCAAAATTGGGCGCAAGAAGACACAGCTGTTGAAACGGCCGAGAAATAACGTCAGAGCGAGCGTAATTACGAATCGCCAATCCTTGCTCTTTCAGAACTCAACCGGCTCATCATCAACCACGCGAATCGCGAAGACTCCGGCCGGTACCGATGCGAAGCAGCCAACGAGTACACTTCGGACTCCGACAACGTCGACATACACGTAGCTGGTGAGTGATCTTCGATCTTCATCAGGGAAATACTGTCGCTTGAAGCATCTTACATAATTTTATCGATACATTTAATCGGTAAAAGATCATCATATCTCTCATTTAGCAGACATGCCTGAAAAAATGTGCAAGAGACGTATCTATAAGATATTCTACTTGTTTCGAACGTTTTCAGGATGTCTATCAGACCTGTATATTAGACCTTTGAGCTGTAAAAACAGCATGATTTTATCGCGGAGCTGGTGCTGCGAACCTTGAAGCGGCAGTATGCATCTCGCGATCGTTTCGGTATCCTCTTTGTTGCAGGTATCTTCATTCATCCCCATTGTCAAGACAACACGTTCTTCGCCAAGTGCGAGCTCATCGTGACGGCCAAGTTCTGCATGCATGAGTACTACGCAAGGTTCTGCTGCCGATCGTGCACAGAGGCCGGCCAACTGCCGGTGAAGGGGCCCCACCTCGACAACACGAAGAGAAGAAGAAGATCCATCCTGCGTATGCTCGTCTAAGATGCCAAATCGACTTTTCGGTATTTCCGACGCGCGTGATGGCACACATGTCGATTCTGATCGTGGCATTCGTGGGATTCGCGACAGAATACACACGCACACATGCATACACACACACACACACACACACACACATACACATACACACATCACACACATACACACACATGTACACATACACGAGGGCGGAGAGAAATCTTGCGCGCACCCACTCTGCCTCTCGGACGTGCCGAATAATCGACTTGTTAACTCACTGCCAAAGCCTTAGAGCGTTTATACATAGATATAATATATAAACACACGTACACGTACACATAGAAACGCACACACAACATACATGCACGCAACACGCACACTCGCACACAATTTCTCCAGCGCGAAACCGACACCGCGCTTCGGCCAGCGCGGTCTCGCTTCGATGCCCCCCTATCCATGTATATACGATCTGACGCTGAGAATCCTAGTCCGACGGAGCCATATTAGGCGGGTTAATTGCTTGTTCTTAAGAGGGAAACGTCACGACCGCGCGTATCCGTCAGACGACGTCGGGCGACACGAGGCGAGGTCGTAACGTCGGAATGTCGGCCGACGAAGCGCGTGGGTCTGCGGATCGTGTTGTCGAGCCTGCGGGAAATATCGCTTCTCCTTCTCAGGCAGGCGCGTCTCCTTTCCCCCCTCCCCCCCTCCCCCTCCCGCTCCCGGAGAGAAAAGAAACACTCGTCTCGCGTGTCATCACAGTAACCGTAGTTTTATATATAAATAACCGTAAGATAATTATAGTACACGCATATGCATATATATATACATATATATAATCGACAACGGAGAGCTGAACATTCGCGAACGCTGGCGACGTATTATCGGTGTGGAGCTCGCGCGGATTCTGTCCCGCGGAGCGGTGTCGAGGATCTTCCGATAATTTTCGCACGACCTCGAGAACACGATCGCGATCCCAAGAGTCTCGATGTGACGCGACGTGCCATTTTTTCTCGTGCATCACGGCGACGTCAATGATGCATGCATCGACGAGAGAGAGAGAGAGAGAGAGAGAGAGAGAGAGAAGGAAGCAGAAAGAAAGAGAAATGACACACGAGAGAAGAGATCTTCTCGTGTGCGGAGCACTGTCTGAGTTAGGCCGAGGTCCTCCTTCCCCTCATTGGACACACACTACGGTGACTAAGAAAGGAACTTGTACCTACTTGTGTATTAAGCATATACGCACGTTATGTTGTACAATATAAATAGTTTATTATTCGATATGCCATTTATATACTCTACGATATTGTTATTACTTGTTTCGCATATAGGTACTCTCGCAAATATCGCTATGACACGCGCCGCCGTCGAAGTAGAAGCTCGCGCGGATATCCCTCCCACGGGGAAAGTATTCGGAAACTTTGGAGAAGCGACCGTCGAACGCGTCTCTGATGAATTAACACGAACGTATCGCTGTCTCCAGTCGCGATTCCACTTTGTGGAGGAATCGGATAAGATTTGTCGTCTGTGCAAAGGAACGGTGAAGAGCTTCGCTCTGGGAGAGCGAGGTTTTCGTCGAAGACTCCGACTCGAAGTCAAAGACGAGAAAAAACGGATGCACACGAGCGGCGTGTGTACGTGCGTGAGAACATTATATTACGCGCTCGACTCGCGTTATTCTTCAGTCGTTGTATCTTTCACTTGTCGTTGCGTGTAACGTGTACAGTCGATTTTTCTGTCGTAGACTTATATATGTATACAAACCGAGCGACAAGAAATCTGAAGAAGGTGGCCTGCGCCACGGACGGTCGATCTTTGTCCAACTTGAATGTCCCGTTGAAGAAAGCTGAATGAAAATAGCATGGAGTATAAGCTGACCTTCCCATCTTCGAATCTCTCGCGAGAAGACGCAGTCTATGTATATAAGTCTACGTTTTCTACACGACCTACACGACTATATAACGATCAGTTATCGCGCGCCTCGCGCACAGCTGTTGCATTTAACGACGTTTGTTCCTGAACATTTTAACCGTATAACTATTAATTGCGTAACTACTTAATATCTCGCGCTCTAGACGCATCCAGTCGCGGGCCATGATGTATCCGGTAGTAGCGATCGTAGATATTACCAGTTGACGAGATCGTAGAGAAGTACGAAAGGAGGGACGAGAAGAGAAAGGTACCAAAACGCATTTACATATATATTATATATTATATATATATATATATATATATATCAAACACACACACATACACACCGTAAGTGTAAGAGTCGCGATCGCAGCCGATCGGAATCGACGTATCGCGAGCCTCTAGGACGACACTCGATTGTTCCGTACGTGTCACCGATTCAGTCGCAGTAAAAAGAAACGCAGTGCCTTATTAGATGACCTTCGAAAAGGATCGGGGAAAGAGTGCTGAATATACATGACGTCTCCCTCGTTTAGTGTAAATAGCCGTGCCACGTGCACCCCGTGTACCTCCCGCACATACACTTCCCCGCCCCGACGAGTCGACGCCGCGCGCGACTCACACGCATGAATGTCGCGCGTGAGATGATGTGTAGATTTAGAGATCCCGTCCGCGTGGCGTGACAGCCCGCGGTTGTAGAGAGCCCAAGACTCGAACAAGCCGTATATATCGACGAAGATATTAAGTACTCTTCTCCTCTGCGCTCCTCTCTAGACACGACCAAGAGTAAATCGTAAAATCGTTAGAAGACGCCACGAGAACGTAGCGCGACCCACGTTAATTGACGACCTAGTGAATGTATTAGGCACACAGTCGACACACAGTTGCTCCCGGCCGTTTCCGCGGAAACCCGGCATTATTAGTTACAGCAGAACGAGAGCACACACAAGGACGGAATCGCACACTAAGGCGGAACGTTGAAACGCGAGGCGCATCCTAGATGTACGTACGTGTCGCCCAACTCCCCATCCTCCCCGCCCACGGAGTAGTTCGTTGGACCTGCGTTCGTGAACGATATGATGATAACGCTCGCGCGTCGTGCGATTTTCAAGGACGCGCGCGGTCGTCGTTCTTCGCCCGGAAGGGAGTAAACGCAAAGGAGGAAGAACGAGAGAAAGAGAGAGAGAATCAGGAAGACGACGGCCGTACGTTTCGCGTGTGCGTGGATGTACATATCGCATTTTCTCCAGCGTCGTCGAGTTTTCGCCGCCGTGCAGTCTCGGCGGGCATCAATGAAATTTTCGCTTGACTGAGACGAGGGAAATTAACTTGGATTAAATCGCAGGTACACACAACGGATGGCCTCGAGCGATTATACATAATTGCATTGAGATTGGTCTCGACTCGTCTCGACTCGTCTTGACTCGTCTTGACTCGTCGATTGCTTCAGTCGACTAAGATTTTCATACCCAACACTGTGCCGTCGCGTTCTTCTTCCAATCACATATCCCCCAAGAGAGAACGACATATCCGCAGAGCGCGACACTGACGACCACGTAGACGTATGATGCCGTGCACACAACAGAAAGAGAAAGAGATCACTCGAATTGGCTGGTTATCTCGTCGCAATTGGAACGTACCTCGCGCGTTGCTTTCCTCCGCTATCGACGAGCGTGTTGCTTCCGTTACAACACGGACGTTGTACGAGAGATTTATCGGGCGACACTTCATCACGATCGACACCACGGGTCTCTCGACGGTCTCGCGCGCGACCTCTTTGTTAAAGAAGAAGTCCGAAGTCGAGAAGGAAGAGAACACGAAGAAGCGGGACAAAACACAAAACACAAAAGGAGAGATCGCGATTCATATCCCACATGCGTTTTATCGATAGAAGTATAGCTCGTCGCGCACGACAGTGCTATATCGTACGGTTTTAGCGAATGTAATTGTAACTGTAAGTACCTTAGATAATGAATAATATATACATATATACATATATACATATATACATATATAGATATATACATATATATATATATATATATATATATATGTATATACATATATAATTTTAAAATAAAAGTAGATATAAATGAATGACGCTATATGATATTATTGTATGGACAATAATAATATATAAGGTCCTTAAATATATAATTACACGATCAGCAGGATTATGTTATTTCGCGATGGCGGGGTTAAACGGCGCCTTTCCAAAGCCGGCTTTGCTCCTAATTTGAATCTGCGTGGCAAACGCAGATGCAACTGGCTGACACATTCTCACGTCAAGCATCAAGTTAGTCACCTTAGTGTTTTTGCACGCTTAGTTTGTCGGGATGAGAATTCTGTACGCGACTGGGACGCATGAGGAAACGTTTGTGCTGCTTCTCGGCCCGAACGACCTTGTCCACTCGTTCGATGGCGATGCGCTCGATCTGCGCGAACAATTCGCTGTGCACGGCTATGCACTGGCGGAAGTCCTTACGGTCCATTCGGTACACCTCGCAGACGTCGATCGCGACGACACTGGCTGTCCTCCGCTCGTCCGCCACCAGAAGGGCGATCTCGCCGAAGTACGCGCCGTCTTCCAAATGGCATATCTTGGAGTAAAGATATCTTTTTACGACGCTTTATCGATCCAGTTTCGTGGACTTCGAGTTGTTGAACGACGCTGATTGTCGTATTTGAAAAGTACCACGCTTGGAAGAACCTACTTCCTTCCCGGTTGGCGTCAGGATAGTCACAGTCCCGGAAGACAGGAAGAACATGCAGTCGCCGTGACTGCCAGCCTTGATAATCACTTCGTTCGGCAGATACAACTCGAACTTCAAGGTCTTCACTATCGACTGCAAAACGTGCCTGGGCAGGTTCTTGAATATCGCCACGTTCTCGATTAATCGCCGGCAGGACTCGAGCGCGATCTCTTCGCGTAACGTTTCTGGAGGAACCAGGCGTCTCGTTATTGGGATTTTGCCTTGCTCGAGATCCTGTATTTTGATTTCTTTTTCTTACATTTCCGTATTGCCCACCTGACAAGTTGGACAGAATTTGTTTCTCGCGGAAGTAACTGTTCTTGAAGCGATAGTGGTAATAGGCCAAGAGACGCTTCTTCATGTGCGGCACCAACTGCTTCTGTCTAGTGTACGCCTTCAGCTCGTTCGTGATCTCTTGAAACTTCGTCTCGGACTCTGTTCTCTTAGCCTTCACCCGAAGGAATATGACTGAAAGGAGATTTGGCTTGGAGAAAAATAAGCGCTTCTGCGCTGGAGAAGCTAACAAACGGAACGGTTCTTCACTCAAGAAGTAGCACAGCATGATCCTGCCGATAAACATGACCAGACTGCTCAGGATCAGGTGACCGTCTGTCTCAGGTACGAAGAGACCGTAACCGGTCGCTAGGATATTCTCCAGCACGATCAGCATGGCGTTTTTGAACCTGAACGTGAGAGTGCGATCCTCCAAGCCCGTCATCCAGCAGTTCTTGCATTCCTTTTGGGGCAATGAGGTTCAAAATTGCAGCTCTTTTAACCATCAGTGTATCTTCGCGCGACTCGATGTCGCCGACTTGCTTACCGCCGGCGAGATATTGACGAAATGCATCATTAACAAAATCGGTATCACGTAACACAGGCAGGAGAACCAGAAGATCAGGTACATTCCCAGCAACAGCGTGGTATACAGTTCGTAGTAAAAGTGCCTGATCCCAAAGTGCTGAAATAGAAAGCGTTCGTGGTAACGTCATCATACGCTCTCTCTCTCTCTCTCTCTCTCTCTCTCTCTCTCTCTCTCTCTCTCTCTCTCTCTCTCTCTCTCTCTCTCGCTCTCTCGCTCTCTCGCTCTCTCGCTCTCTCGCTCTCTCTCTCTCTCTCTCTCTCTCTCTCTCTCTCTCTCTCTCTCTCTCTCTCTCTCTCTCTGGTAGAAAAGACATGTTGCACCTTAAATAGAAAAAAAATGGTCGACTTGAACGTCCAATAGCGCGTTAATTTTATGAAGGGCAATATATTGATCAAGACGATAGCATGATACGAGTCATCCCCTGGCAATCTTCGCCACGGCAACGTTATGTGATCGTACGGGAGAGACGACAACACGTCCGGCAGGAGAAATCCTTTCAGATAAGACCTACAGAGAGAATCCAGGACTCGGAGGATTGAGTAAAATTAAATCTGGATTGAGAAATTAAATTGTACGGAAACTCGGCTGTGAGATATCGCGTATGAGATCTCACATGAATATTTTGCTCAGCTTCAACTCGATGTGCATGTCCTTGCTGTCGTAATATCCTGTAATGCAGTTGAACGCTATGTCCAGCCAGAAAATCGCGTAAATCGGAACGTTTACTTTATCCAAGAGAATCGACTGGTAGTCCTTAACGACGAAGCAAATCATGAAGGGGATCGTGAGGAAGGCGACTGAGTAAATCGCCATCATGAATGTATCCCAGAAGTACCTGTAAATGTCTTCGTTCAGGACGACGCGTTTGCTTATCGACGAGCGATACGAGCAACGTTCTCCTCTGTGTCTTCGAGACGCCGCATGTGCGGAGGTGAGGACTGTGACGTACCTGGCGTAACTAAATGGGTGTATTATCCACCAATGTTTCAGAGCGATCTGCCTCCTCCTCTCGGCAGTCACCTTGACTGTACTGTCCATGTAGTGACCGCATTTTGGACTGTATTTACTGATGCCGCACCAAGCTATCCACGCGTTTTTGAAAGTCAGCGGTTTTATCGGCCCGAAGGGAAACTCGTGCTCGTGTTTTGCGGGCAGTTCGCATATGTGCTGACTCATCGTTTAATAACTGGCTAAATCCAGTTAAAATCAAGCTTGACATTTTAGGTTAAAACGTAATATTTCATATATACATGAGAAATATTGATCCAAACAGTTGAATAACAGCTTGAGAATATTATTCCGTAATTGACTGTGTATTCAGTGAAAAATTGTAAATAATTTAAAAAATTGTCAATACCCGACAGCGGTATCATACTGCATTATATATTATTGCTATTGCATTATTTTCGAGAATCTTTCTCTGTCTTTTGAAGGAATCATGTGGATACTGGGAAGAAGAGAATGGAATTATGTACGAACCTTCAGGAAAGAGAGAAAATTATTATAACACGCTGCATTATGCAGTGTTTATTTAAAATGTATTCGCATTAAAAAATAGACACACACGCACGCACACACGCACACACATGTAGGGTATACCGTACAATAATATAACATTAATCTATCATCTTTCTTCACGGTAGCTGTTTTACTCCACATCTCTGTATAAATAAGTGCGTACTTTTTCAATCACTTTGCACATTGCGATGCGTACCGGAAAGAATCGTATTTTTCGACGATATTGGTATATATTTTAACACGAATTTTTTTTTCTCACGAAACAAACTCTCGAGTATTGTTACAACTTGTGCGTACATTGATCACGACGATAGTATTTCCTAATTCACGAAATACAACGTGGCATATGATAGAAGAAGCACCAATTAAAGTACCAATTATTTCGATCGAGCAATCAAGCGCATAACTTATTTCACAATCTCGAAATGCGATTTATTAGGAGTAGATATAAAACTGATAAACTGCAGTATCAATTCCTAATTTCTAATATTGTAAATGAATTATATCTAGAAATGTGTCTGAAGAGTTAGACTGCTTAGTCTTGCTTGAACTTCTTGACTTGAAATACAATGCAGTTGCGAAACAAAATGCAGTTTCCCAAATAATATCGATGTAACTGAATATGACATTTAAATTTTTAAGGAAGAATAATACCGTAGGTCATTGTTTTAAAACGACAGAGAGAGAGAGAGAGAGAGATAGAGAGAGAGAGAGAGAGAGAAAGAGAGAGGGAGAGAGAAATTTTAGTTAAAAAAAGTAACAACTGTACATTTGATATAATTTCAACTATCAGTCTTCCCTGGTATTTCTACGTTTCTCTTTTATTTTATAAATGTCTTAAAAAAATATAAGACTTGTGGTACGTCACACGTACATGTCCGCAACCTGATTACGTAAAATGATCATGTCAAATTTCACCAGGCGATATTTCTTTACGCTTAGGGGTACAAATATGGAAATATGTATACAACATTACGCTATTGATGCCAAATTATTGTTCTATCGTGTTTATACTCATATGTATAGTTCTCGCACGACATCGCACGATTCTGCTAAGGCAGAGATTCTCGTGAGATCCATGAGTGAGATCATAAATTGTTGCAGAATTAGAACAAACAAATGTTTCCCTTCTTTTTGTTTATAAATTCTTGTCTTCTTTATGACCGCCTCTAGAATAGACACTCTTCTTCTTCATGTATGTTTGCGAGCGCGATCGACCGCGCCGCGGCCGCCGATATCGCTCAGCGCTGAGCAACGAGATCGATGGAACAACGTGTGAATGAAGCGGTGGCTGGGGGAACGGATGGCCAAGAAAGGATCCAAATGAAGGCTCGAAATGCTTTCCCACCGTTTAATTGCACCAAAGATTGCCGCGCGAATGGACGGGTTCACCGCGGGCTGATCGTCGAAATTGAGGCGAACGGAGATCTCACGATGCTTACGATAACGAGAGCGGAGCGAGTGAGATCTGGATCTGGAGAGAGCAGTACACACTCCCATCTACAACTATTATATTTCATGGCTGCTCCTAATCCTACTCCCTTGCTGTCTCATAGTGACAGGAGTGAGCAGGAGCCGATCGTCTTGTGTGTATACATAACCTATGCTAAGCTAACGTATGCCATATATTTTATTTTTTTTTAAAGAATTATACTTATGTATCATATGAATTTATAAATTCATGTATCATCTCCGACCCAGGACAGGTCATGGCCATTGACGGTCCATCATCTGCCCATCGCGCCTCACGATCACGCACCACATTTTGTCGAGATCTATATTACCACGAGAAGCGTCTTCTCGACGACCATGCGATGCGATTTCTCGGGACGTCGCCACATCTCTCGGCCGATGTCACATGTGACCTTACACGCTGCGCTCGGGCATTGTAAATTTGGCTCCTCTGTCTTTCTTTTTTTTCTGTTGTTTATTTTATTTGTCACACGCCACGTATCTTTTCCAACGCTGTCGCACGCTTTTGAAATTAAAATTTCAAGGCGGACGGTATGTTCGGCAGCTCGATTAATTTCAGTCTTTAAATTCGACCGAATTCTTGCGATTTGGCCGAATATTCTCGGGGCGCTGTCGGATACGACATAGGTTGATCGAAATCGTAAAGAGAAATCGACTCCAACCAAATATAAACATCCGAACAATATAATAGCTGGCGAGCCAACTCGGTGGATCTGTTATATTTCGAATTATGTTTATCTCTTCCTCGTCACGAAACAGTTGGATGTTTCTGGAAAGTTTTACCGTTGATATCGCGCCGAGAATATAGTGGCTGATCGCCAAGGCATGTGCGCTTATGACCGGCCATCGACGAGCCCATCGTGTGCGTGGTTGGTTAACACGCGAACTACGCCAGCATTGCGAAGTGTGGCGCCGGTTTCCAATGAGTGTCGGAATACATCTGTCTTTTCTTGTATTTAGTTTGTTTTTGTAATTTCGAGTTACCGCCGAGCTCTCGCTCCGCGCTGACCGTCGCCGTGCTCGCGATCGCCTGTCCGCCCGCGGCAAGATCTCCGGCGTTCGCGAGGAAGATCTCCGTCGGTTCGGCGGTGACATCTCAGACCGGCCCAGAAGATCTCCGGTCGCGGTGTAGCGCGAACCCGCTCGGGCGACTCAAGATCTCCGTCCGCCTCAATTTCGACGGTCAGCCCGCGGTGAGTTCGTCCGTTCGTTCGCGCGGCAATTTTTGGTGCAATTAAACGGTGGAAAAGCACTTCGAGCCTTCATTTGGATCCTCTCTTGGCCATCCGTTCCCCCAGCCTCCGCTTCGTTCACACATTGTCCCATCGATCTCAGCTGCTCAGCGCTGAGCGATATCGGCGGCTGCGGCGCGGTCGATCGAGCGGGAAGATCGCGCTCGCAAACAATGTAAAAAGATCCCTTTCCCTTCTTTCGTAATAAGATACATAAACTTTTGGAAACCTCAAGATAAGATTCTTCTAGGATCAAGATAAACCCAACGCGAGACTGCAGCGAGAAAGAACTCTGCGCGAGGACCGAATGCAAGAAATGGCGAAGCGACACAAAATCAACCGTTAAATTAGTTGCGCCGAACACGAGAACCTCCGGCTTGTCGGAACGACCTATGAACCTCGTGCGTTCACACATACAGCACAACATATAATGTCATTCTAATGCAATATCGATAACTACGTTCTATAAATGCCTTGTTATCAATGGGATAATCCGCGCTTGAGCTCGCTAATGTTGCCTCTGAGGTACTGAGGGTGTTTCACTTCGATCTGAGATACAATAGCACGGCGGAGGTTACCGGAGGAGAGGATTATCCACGAACTATCCGTCCGATGCGGCTTCGTCGTGGAGCGATATGATCACCGTACGTTTACCCCCAGCGATCCCCAGCGTCGTCACTCGCCGGCTTTGCCCGACGAGTCGACAATACGCCGCGGACTTCGTGTACACAACGTTCACTCGATGGAGTTGGAGTCGACACGGGCAGTCGTCAATGTGAACTATCAAAATATTTCAACTTTACATATCGACGTAGTAACCGTCGGGGGGGGGAGGGAGGGAGGAGATGCAGCGGAGAGCCATGAGTCGAGCACTTCACATCCTTTGGCCATCGAGTAACAACCACCGACAGTCAGTGCGAGCCGATGTCGCACATGAAACGTTCAGGGCGAGTGCCGGAGAGTTTCTCGTTCGTTGAATCTTACTTTCCGCTACGTGGCGAGGGAACTTTGCGGGTTGTCTTCTTCCACGCACGCGCGCGCGCGCGCGCGCGCGGAACCTCTCTGAAGAAGTGTTTCTTCTGCATTAGTCGAGGGAGCGTATCAACTCTCTCCTCACACGTCGATGCCGAGCAGCTCCCGGCTGTCGGCCTTCGAAAGTCGACAACGTAAACTGCGACGACGAAACACCTTCCATCAGACGGATGCTCGCTTCATACGGAGGCTGGCGGAGGTCGAGGGCGGCCGGTAGCCTTGATACCCGGATGGATCCAACAGCTCGGAATTCGCCGGGCCGAGGCACGTGCAGGAGCACACGCTCACGCAGTCGTCCGTGTCGTGGACGATCGGCTCGTGTCCAGCTAGAAGCTTCCCGTTCACCGCCACGACCTCGCCGTCCAGCGTGAGGACGTGCTGCGAGGCGGACTGCATCTCGTTGTCCTCGCGACGCGCCTCACCGGTGTTCCTGTCCCCGACAAATGATTCTCGTTTGTCTCGCTATTTGTATCAATAAATAGACCCGTTGCCTTATTTACTAATAGATCTAACGCAGAGAATGCAGGAGAGATCCAAAATCAATACAGAGAATGAGAGAAAAGAGAGAAAAGTAACTCGAGGGAAAAGCAACTAGAAGATCTATTCACATCGTCATGAAGCGCAGCACGAGCAGGTTGATACTGGCAGCGACCACGGCCAAGCCGAAGAGGATGAAGACCAGACTCAAGGCCACGTATCCAGGCTTATTGGAGAGCGCATGGTCGTTCTGCAAGAAAAGCGATCGTCACCTCGCCTGTCCTCGATCGATCGGCCACGAGCGCGGGGCGAGTCACCCACCTGAAGAGCGACAAAGTCGCCGAAGCCTATGGTGGTGAGCGTCACGAAGCAATAATAGAAGCTGTCGAAATAGCTCCAGCCCTCGTATCGCGAGAACACCGCGGCGCCCGTTGTGATGATTATACTCGAGAGCAGACCGGTCGCCAACATGAGATTCATCTCGGTGGCCTCGGTCTTCTGGCAGCGAAGGTACGTCTTCGCCCGCCTGATCACGACCGACGCGAACTTGTTCAATCGCTCGCCGATGCTCTGGAACATCACCAGCCCCAACGGGATCCCCACCATCGCGTACGCCATGCAGAACGCCTTTCCACCTACGGTCACCGGCGTCGAGTGTCCGTAACCTTGCAGAAAAGTGTAAGTCCAAGTCTTACGAAGTCTTCGAGGTCTTATCGAGTACGACTCGCGTCGAGCCGCGTTCGAACGCGACGTGGCATCTTTCGCGGTTGCGACCACGTTGCGAGTGTGTGTGTATCTCGCCGTGAACGTATACGTAAATAATGCTACGTGTGGTTTCCGAAAAATAAAATCAATAAGATGCGGAGGAAGGTAAATGAGACAAAGATGAAACGTTGCGTGGCTTCGAAAGATCGATTCGAAAATTTGGACCGTAGAATTGTGCATGAAATCGACTGAAAATCCGAGTGGCAAGAGTGGAGTCGAGTGGAGTCGAACAAAAATTCACTCGATCGCGCTTGTCCCCTGGTGCAACTCACCGATCATGGCTAACACTAGAGTGGCGAAATAAAAGGCACCCGCGAACTTCCACTGCGGCCCCGCTTTGTGCGGCTTATTCTCGATGATCACGATCTCGACCATCTTGTAATCCTCCGGCGTGATGTTGTACTTCTTCATCATGTTGCGCCGTATCTCTGTAACGCGGCATTCCCCGCGCGCACGCGGCGGAAATAATTAATCGTCGATTATCGATCGCGCGCGCGCGCGCGCGCGCGCCGTGCGCGACGATAAAAATACCTCCGGGCGCGAAAGCACGCCGTCGTCGGGGGTGTGGCGGCGGCGGCGACGGCGGCGGCGGCGGCGGTGGCGGCGGCTACTCACCGGACAGGAATTCCCAACGTTTCTTCTCGGTGTCGGACTCGAGGGCGTCGAACACCGCGGCGCCGACCAAGAGATACGTGAACGTGCACACTACCAGCGACAGGGTCCTGACATTCTGCCTCTTCATCTTCGTCCCTTCGTCCTCGCGAGGCGTAAACGCGCGCGTGCGCGCGCGCGCGCTCCCCTGTCGGCGCGCGAGCTCGACGACGATAAAAAATCCTCACGACACTTCGCTCTCTCCTTCAGCGAGCTCGCCGTCGGGACTCGCCGTGGCAGTGAAGCGTTCCGTCGAGGACGCCCCGCGCGAAACGCACTCCTCGCGATGATATCGATTTATATGGCATATCAGACTGATGGGACACTCTCGTGTGTAATGTCGGAACGCCGCGGGAGCGTGCACGATACTCGCGAGAACAGCGTTCGCACCGCACGCCACCCGGCCGGCGAGTATTGATCGCAGGCCGGCTGCCGACGACGGTTAGTCCATGAGAAGGCGCGCGCGCGCGCTCTGCCAACCCTCATCCCTCTCCCGCTCCCTTCGTAGGTACATACACGCGGCGGCGGTAAGCACCCCCTGAGAGGCCGAGAGACGGCGACAACCCAGCCGTTCCGCCGAGCGCCGGCTGATAACGTAGTCAGCCGGCTGATAACGTCAGTGGTAAGAGCGGCGAGATTGCGCGGCGCAGTGGTACGAGGCGCTCTTGGAACGGCAGTAGTTACAGCCGTCGCGGTGCGGACCACCACCGCTGGTAACACTCGGAGAGCTGCGCGTCGGCGACTCCGTGAATTCGTCGGCTCCTTCAGAGGAGTCTCGTTCGTTGCTCGATTTCATGGTCCTCGATGAGAAGCTTCGCTTCGTTCTTCTCCTCGTGGCAATTCGCACTCGGGCTGCACTCGGATACTGAATGGGTTTGAGCGATATGGGTTCGCTGTCCATTCGATTCCCTCGGCGCCGGTGTTCGTCGGCGACTCGCTAGGAAAAAAAATGTAGTATCTCTGACAAAACTGTTTAGTTGAGGCATTTTTCAATGACAACCAAATATCTTGTTTTATATAACAAAATATTCAGTTGTCTCAACTAGATATACTTTTCTGCTTTGTTCTCTGGACCAAATGATTTTGTTCTCAGACTTCATACGTAAGAATCAAGCATTTTAGTTATTTTATCCATAAAAATTACATAATAACGAAATATTATTTTACATAAACTAAAATAATACAGTGGCACAGTGGATACTGTTTTGCCTTTCTGTGCACTAAAATTTAGATTTTGTATATTAAGAAAAAATTGTAGTATTTTTAACGAAATTCATATAGTTGAAGCTTTTTGGTTGCTATAACAAAAGTATTGCGTTATACGAACAAACCGTAATCAAACGAGATATTTGTTTACAGGAACTAAATAGTTTTGTTGGGCATATTTTAACCAAATTATTTTGTTGTTGCAACAAAATTTTGGTTCACGCAACAATACATTTTTCCTAGTGCAGGGACGATGTATCTGTATCGCGTATCCTTTGAGAAGTTTCACATGCAGTTCGATCGTAAAGTTGTCGGCTCGGAAAAAGGGAGAATGAGCGATGATGCAATGAATGCAACGCATGTCAGGGGTGAGAGAGAAAATTTTGCGAATGTAGACACATTAGTTTGCCGCGAAAGCAAGCTCTGGAAAATGTTATTTTTCTCAGTATTGTTCTGTTAAATTTAATCGTCCATTGTACGCGGCATCGAGAGGATATAAAGTTTTCGATATTAAATCTTTCTCTCGCTCTCTTCCTCTCTTTCTCGCAAAGTGCACGATATTTCTACTCTGGTGAAAATACCACTCGCAGAGCGTAAAAAAAGTCTCTTATACATTTAGTGGATCTTACATTATTCTTTTGAAGCTCTTTTGAGAAATTACGTCATCTTGACGAATTTTTTAGCGAATGGATGTACCGAGATTACGCAACGACGGCAGATTCCGTTTACGAGCGTCTCCGCTTTCGTCGATCGCAAACTTCCGAGTGTCGAGCGGGAGCGAGGGGAAACCCCTATTTCGGAATCTGAGAATTATTACATTACGTCGTACCCGAGTTATTATATCACATCGACGACGAGAAAAAAAATTCTCTTTAGGGGGGAGTCCCGGTTATTGCATCATCATATATCTGTGAGTTGTTGTATCGGATCGACATATACCGACGGTGCGTTAAACTTCTTTCAAGTTCTCGTGAAAAAGTTTTACGGGCCGCGATCGTTAGCGAGCCGAATGCAGAAACGACGCGACGTACACGCAAGTAAGAAACGTGAATAAGGAATTGTGATTCAAGCGTGCCGGAGGAACTTGCAGTTCTCGTTACTGAGCGCGTCAGCTTGCACGGAAAGCGGAAGAGGCGCGATTCGTGGAAGCGCAGCGTCAGAACATTGTGTTGCGTTCGAATAATTGCGGCAATACGTACGTAAATATCGCCCGGAAGAGACACTCGCGCGGCGATTCAAAATAACTCGAACGGGCAGAGCAAGGCACGTTTCGCAAACTACCCAGAATTACGCTGGTCAAACTTTCCTGTCAGCCAATTGTTGCGATTGACCGTGGCAAAAAGAACAAGAGAGAATCTCTCCCTGTATTTTCACGCTGAGTACGAGGAGCGTACATAAACCAACTGTGTTTCGCGAACGTGCCCCGCGGGGCCTCATTCCGGACGCGTATCGAACGCTGCGAATGCCCGCCCGCTCGTCGAGCTGAAATAACGGTTTTACGTAACAGCTCGTACGTAAGAAAGCTCGAAAGCTGAAGTTAAAAGGGCACACTTAGCGCTCGCTGCGCGACAGGAATAAAGGTCTACCGCGCTATTTCACAGCGCGAGAGCTCGCTGATACAAAAGTTATCAGCGGCACGTGATTCTCTTCTGCAAAGAGTCGCGTCGTTATTCATGCTATCCGATCTTTGCGATGATCTACGCGTGCTTTTCAACTTTTTCCCGACCGTAAATTTCCGACCATTCCCGCCGCTCGACGTGGTGTGCGACCATTTCACTCTCTCTCTCTCTCTCTCTCTCTCTCTCTCTCTCTCTCTCTCTCTCTCTCTCTCTCTCTCTCTCTCCCCCTCTCTCTCCTCCTCTCTTTCCCTTTCTCTCTCTCCATCTCTCTCTCTCCATCTCTCTCTCTCTCTCTCCCTCTCTCTCTCCCTCTCTCTCTCTCTCCTTCTCTCCTTCTCCATCTCTCTCTTCATCTCTCTCTCCCTCTCTCTCCCTCCCTCTTTCTCCCTCTCCCCCCTCCCTCCCTCACTCCCTCCCTCTCCCTCTCCCCTCCCTCTCTCTCTCTCTCCCCGTCAAATCCTGATCGCGGAACTTTGGGAAGTTATCCGACGTGACGCGCCCCGCAGGCACCGTCTCGATGAGCGCAACACCTACGAAGGGCTGCATCAGACTCGCGCGTCCGACTATTTGCATGCTGATAGACACGCTACCGATCCCGCTCGCGCGTCGCATCGATAATGAACGACGACCCATATCGCTGCTGATGAGTAGCAGGGCTAAGAGTAAGGAAATTGCCGCCGGCTGCACTTCGTGTACGTGTGGGTGTTTTGTGCGTGCGCGACCGCGCGGTTAAAGGCGTTACCCTATTTGCCAAGGAAAATTGCACTTTTCAATTTACGTCAGTGTTTGCCTTGAGTGCGCTTCGGGTATCTCGATCACGCCTCCTTATCTCGGGATCCCTTCTGATTCGCTTCGAGTGTTTCGCGCGTATCGCATAAACGGCATCAATCTAACGGGATCTAATATCGCTTACGTCACAAACGGCAGCCAAAGTCATAGAACCGTTTCATTAGTCACGTCTCTAGCGACGCAATGAGAGGTCAGCGGAGAGAGAACAGAGAGAGGAAGAGGAAGAGACAGAGAGAGAGAGAGAGAGAGAGAGAGAGAGAGAGAGAGAGAGAGAGAAGATAGAGTAGAGAGAAAAAAGTGGGATTACGCCTCGTATTTTTGCGACGGACGAAAATAGCCGTCGGCTGCTCCGCCACTGAAGACAGGGCTCCTCGTAACAAGAGGGGGGAGTGTCATATTTCAACGGCGATCCGTGCAAATGTTTGGCGAGGAGAGCAACCCGGTAGGCGTGCATGTGTGTGTGTGTGTGTGTGTGTGTGTGTGTGTTGAAATTACCGTCACGCGTATCTGTACGTGCAGATATCTCGCGTTTGGACCGACGACGGAAAAAGAGCGGGATGCACCCGCGAACCATCCCCCGACGGAAATGACGCACGACCGAGTCTGTGCCGATTCAGGACGCGATGACTCGGCCACGGAGAAGGCGAGCGACACGATGAGACTCCCGAAACAATTGGCATCTTCAAAGAGGGACCTGTCGCGAATAATCGTCGCCCAGCGGTTGAAGACATCCGGGGGTGGTTGGGAGACGGGGGTAACGCTCTCGAAATTCGTGAATGACGCACCTGACACGACGAGCGTGTAGAAAATTACCTACGGTGGTTAGTCAGGGTGAAAAGTAAAAGTTCGTTCAGTGACGCCTCCCAGAGGGAAAGCGCTGAGGGCAGAACTGACAAATAACTCTCCGAGATGGATACACTCGTTCCGTCCCGACCTCTGTCTACGTTGTCCGCTGAGTTGTTGACGGACGAGCAGGTCGCAAAAAAAGGGATGATGAAAGGATGAGAGAAGTGGTATTCCACGGTAATAACGCCGTCATAGATCCTTCCGCGAGGAAACTGGCGACTCGAGAAGATCCATCCATGCGACGCACACGCCGCGCTCTTCATCGTCCGAAAACGCGGAGATGTGTCTGCGCACGAGAGTGAGCAATGAACTCTAAGGGTCCATCGATTCTACATTATTGGCTGGCTCTTCCTTCGCTTTTGTCCGGATGCGCGGCGGAGAAGCTCTCGCGCCGATCTCGCGTCCGCGATCAAGCGATCCGCAAAGCCCGAAATGGCGAGCTTCCGCGTGCCAAATAGCGTCAACCAGATTTATATGCGTCCATTAAACATTTTACACACTCGTGAATGTCTCCATCTCTCTCTCTCTCTCTCTCTCTCTCTCTCTCTCTCTCGCTCGCTCGCTCGTCCTCTTTTATTCGCGGAAATATTCAAGTTTTTGTAATATGGCGCACGTTCTCATTTGGCGTTTGGAGGCTTCGCGCGGTGAAGTTCCGGGAAATGAAATATCTGAATGTCTGACGATCTCTAGAATCGAAACGCGCTAATTAACGACGAAGGACGGCGCGCAGCGTCCGAACGAATATCAGAAATTCTCGAACCACTCGAGACCGTGTGAACTGCCACGTGATCCAGCGGATACGGGACATCGATAAATTGTTCGGCACGCGTTTTCCGGTAATTCCTCATTTCATCGGGCATTCCCCGGGGCTGGCCCCGTTGGCCGAAATCCACCGGGGCTTCGTCAATGGACGGCGTGTGCGAAATTTTCCGCA